GATGAGTGTGACATCGGGATGAGCTTATATCTTTAAAAACTTCAATTATTAAGAAAGTACAGTGCAATTTAACATAATCAAGAAATTACCTTTTATCTTGTAAAATATTGACATTTTTAAAGATATAAGCTCACCCTGACATTACACTCATCGAGACCTTTCATTTGAGTACCCACATCATTTTTTCATATATTTTATATATTTATATATATGTATATATGAAAAATATATGAAAACGCGTGTGAGTACTCAAATGAAAGCTCTTGATAAGTGTAACATCGGGATGAGCTTATATCTTTAAAAATGTCAACAGTTAAAAAAAGTACAGTGCAATTTAACAAAAGTCATTATTATTTATTTATTTGTTTATTTGTTTATTCGTTAAATCGTAAAAAATAGTTAGTAATAATTTAAATAAAAAATTTTTAATTATGTTTATTATTACTACTATTTGATTTCGAATAAAAATTCTTATATAATTTTATATGATCCATATTTGTAATCGTATAAGATTCATATGTAATTATATCATTACACATGATGATTTATATTTTTTTTTCTTTTTTTTCTCGTTAACTAAAAATATAATTGATGATACTGAAATCAACAGAGACTTGATAAATATTAAATTTTATTGTTTAAAAAAATTCCTCTTTATATTTTTGGAAAAATTCAACGAGTGAATTGAAAAATAAGTAAATAAAGGGACATTTGAACAATGAGTGTCAATCGAAATTGAACAACTTAACAAAACTACAATTAAATGAATATATTAAAAAAAAAAAAAAAAAAAAGTAGTAGGTGACAAAATAAATCAATAGAAGCACTTGAATAGCCTGGAATAATTTTATTGAATCTCACCGCTCGGACAAAGAGCAATCACACATATGATGATCAATTTAAAATCAATACAGTTGTATCCGTCATTTGTGTATATGAGATTCCGTTTGGCAATACAACGATTGGCATCGCGCATTAAATTCCATGGCCATGTGCCAATTTCTCCACTTTATATCCATTTGTTCCAACTCGTATAATAATCCCAACAAAATAAAACTAAAAAGCAATAAAATGAATGAGTGAATGGAAGAACAGGTGATTACAAAAGCGGAAATAAGAGGACACTTAATAGTAATGTTGATGTTAATATACTTAGTAGTAATAAAAATATTAAAAAGAAACAAAAATAAGGGTGTAAAAAAAGAATTGGCATTTGCAGAAGTGAATCACCGGTACAACTCGGTGAGTGGCTGGAGATTCGTGTCTCAAGAACAGGAAGACTAGCATCTCTAGAGGTTGAGAATGAACCAGCGCAAGAGATCTTGGCCCCTGGGGCTTTCACTCAACTCTCGCTGCCATTAAATCTCTACCTAGGTGGAGCACCGTCTCCTGAAATGTTCACACCTAAAATGAAAACTGCAGCCAGCTTTGTTGGATGCATTCAGACTGTTGTCCTGAATCATCGCGAGGTATTTCTTCTTTTATAAAGAAAAAATTTTATGTTAAAATCACAAGAAATAACTGTCAAATTTACAAGTATGAATATGATAAATTTACATAGTTGAATAAATTTTCAAAAATGGTTCTGTAGAAAATATCCTGTCTAATTATTTGTAAATTTATAGAATATCATATATAAATTTTATTAAAATTTTATAATAGTTTCTTAGTCGTTAATAATTTTATACAATTCTATATAATGCATTTTCCAATATAAAATTTACAAGTTTTCTAATACTAAGTTTACATTTTTCCTCATAATAAATTTACATTTTCTTTTCATGTAAATTTATCATTTTTTTTTCTCGTGTAAAATTTATATTCCTCCACATAATAAATTTACATTTTTTCATGTAAACTTAACATTTTTTTCACATGTTAAGTTTACATTTTTCCATGTAAAATTTTCATTTTTCCCAAAAAATAAATTTACATTTTTTGATGTAAATTCATCATTTTTTTCTCGTGTAAAATTTACATTTTTCCATATAATAAGTTTACATTTTTCCATATAATAAATTTACATTGTTCCACATGATAAATTTACATTTTTTTCACATGTTAAGTTTACATTTTTCCATGTAAAACTTTCATTTTTCCTAAACAATGAATTTACATTTTTTAATGTAAATTCATCATTTTTTTCTTGTGTAAAATTTACATTTTTCCACATAATAAATTCACGTTTTTTATGTAAATTTATCATTTTTTTCTCGTGTAAAATTTACATTTTTTCATGTAAACAACATTTTCCCCACATACTAAATTTGCATTTTTTAATGTAAATTTACATTTTATTTCCTTATTAAATTTTCATTTTTCCTAATGTAAATTCAAAATTTTCAAGTTGAAATTTTTTCTCAATAAACTAAAAATAATGTCTTGACAATACTAAAATTGTAAATCTAACAGATTTTTCTGCACTTGAAAATTTTTATATTCAACAAAATCACGATTTATGACTGACAATATTAAAAAAAATTCTTACTCCAAAGGTCGGTATCCTCGCAGAGGCACTCGGGGGAGTAAACGTGGGTAATTGCGGTCACGCTTGTGAAGCCCGTCCGTGTGGTGATGCCGAGTGCCGGCCTCTGAGAGAGAGGTTCACGTGCAGATGTCATCCGGGTACGCCACATCCATGCCCAGCGCCAGAAGAATTTATTTCATCACTTCCCGAGCCCTCACTCCCATCCCTGCCCAGCACCAGTGTTTCCATGTTGCTCACTAAATTCGAAAGAAGCGTTCCCAGCTTCACTGGAACCGACAGCTATCTTCATTACAGCGATGCTGATACCATGAAGAGGTAGTTAATCTTATATTAAGTATCCATCAAGTTACTCTAATCCTTTTTTCCTTTCCCTCTTCTTCTTTAAAACAGAAAAAGTGAAAGTTAATTTTTTATTTATTCTACTCTAATTAATTTACTGACTAGATAAATTAATTAATTATAAGCTAGTGATTAAATAATAACTTCACATCTCTACAAAGTCGGTTAAATATTTTAGTCTTTTTATAATTATTTCACGGATTAATCTTTTATTAATAAATCTGCTGAAAGTTCGCGTTTCGCTTAAAATATCAAAATTTTAATCATTTTATTTATAATGCATGATAATTTCATTCAAAAAATTTGTATAGAAACTTTTAATTATTTTTATATCATGTACTGGCAATTTTTTTTTATTTTATTTAAAAAGTAAGCTAATATTAAATTAAGAAAAAATTTTTTTAAAAATTTCACATATTTTTTTTTAAATATCTACATAATAATTTAATTAATTCTTAAAAAATTTATTAAATATCTAAATATAGAGCGTAATTATTTTTAAATCAAATTTAAAAATTTTTTTTCACTTTCAAAATTAAAAATTTATTATTTTATTAATCCGAGAACAGTAAAAAAATTTTTTCAACCTTCAAATCACAATAATTAATTTAAAAAATCAAAATTTAATTATTCTCAAAAATATGTAAACTATTTAATTTAATCAAAAACATTTTTACATACAATAATTATTATTAAAAAAAAAAAAAAATAAATAAATTTTTAATTAAAATCCGAAAAAGAATTTAAGCGGCTTAAATGACAAATTTAAAATTTTAACAATTATAATTATAATTACAATAAAAATAAAACTTTATCCAGGATAATAAGTTACCGAGTGGACATAAACATGAGATTCAGAACAAGTAGCAGTAATGGGTTGCTACTTTGGAGTGGAAGGCAATCAGATCCTCAAGAACAGCGTGACGAAAACGAGGACTTTCTTGCGCTTGGCTTGAACCAGGGCTACCTTACATTGGCGTATAATCTTGGCTCTGGAGAGGCTGTACTTAGATACAATCTCACTAGATTGGATGACGATCTGTGGCACCGCATTAGGGCCGTAAGGTGAATGTATATCCTAAAAACTACAAATATCTAGATCTCCGACTAAGTCTCAGTCTTAGGAGCTGAACAAAATTGCTTTTATTCTTTATTTAACTTCTTCTTTACTTCCTTTTATTATTATTATTTTATTGGTATTTTGGAAGTGATTTATTAAATACTCAATGAAGTTTTTAATATAATAAATTTTAAAAAAATGGAATAAATAAGAATGACGTTAAAATGGATTTTTCTATTTTCTTACAAGAAAGTTTGTAAGTTTTTTTTATTTAAATCCAATAAAATCAGTCACTTGCCAAAGTTTTCACATTAAATAAATACATGAATAACATTTTCGTAAAAGATTACATGCTTACAGTAAAGTCTGATAGAATAAATTTATAATATAAATTTATATTTATTTTTTTTGCTATAAAAAATCAATTAGAAATTTTTTATTTTAAAAATTAAATTTTTTTAAATGTCAAAAAAAAAATTAAAAATAAATATTTTTATTATTAAACCTTAAGATTGAATAAAATAATTCTAATTCAAAAAACGAGAAGCATTTTTTACCAATTACCGTAATTAAACTTAACGATAACGCTTCAATAAATTTCAATATGTTTTTTCTATCAGCTAATTGCCCGACTCGCTCTCGCTTTAAATTATTTCTTCAATAAATAATTAAAAACACAAACACGAACATATCAATAAATATAAAATACACATTATAGATTCACTCGTATATATTTTTCATCACTAGAAAAAAAAAACGAAGTGTAAATAATAAATGTCTTGGCATTGTTTTAAAATTTCAAGCGTGAAAAAAAATAAATCAGATACACGGAAAGAACAAGATGACACTGGATACCATCTCAGATTATACTCAGTGACATCTGAAGTAAAAAAAATTTCAGATGTTAGCTAGTATAATCCAGATTATACTGAATAATATCTGGATTATACTCATTGTAATCTGGATTATACTCATTGTTATCTGGATTATACTAGCTACTATCTGAAATTTTTTTTCACTCAGTATAATCTGGGATTGTATCCAGTATAATTTTGTTCTTTCCGTGTATCTGACGTATAATATTATAATATATTACTATAATAATATTATACCATAAATATAAATAATTTGATTTAAAGTGAGCTATGTCGTAGTAAGCTATAAAAAATTTACTTAAATTATAAAACCATTTTCACTTGAATACACACCAATCGATAGTCCGAATGTTAATATTTTATGATGTTTTTTATGTCTACGTTTACATCCGCTTTTTTCGCGATAAACACGACGAAAAAAAAAATAACGCGAAACTTGTTCTCGTTTACGAGATTAAAAGAGATTGAAAAACAAAATACAATATTTATTAAAATAAAGTAAAATACTCAAAGCGTAATTATTATTTTTTTTTTATTAAATTAAGAAGAAAAATTATTTATTAAAAATTATTTTTTCCATCAAACAAATTGTAATTTAAATTAAAAATACTTTGTGGATTTTTTTTTTATTAATAAATTTAATTAAATTATTTATTATAGAAATGAACAATGGGCGTCATTAGTCGTAGATAGTGGAACAGGTGTATCGGCATCATCACCAGGACAATTGAGAGAATTAAATACTGATACCGGTCTCTACATAGGTAATTAAATATATTTATAAAATTTTTTTAAATTTAATTAAAAATTTTTTATGTTCATTTTTTTTTAAATAAAAAAAAAAGGTAACTTTTAAAATGAAAAAATAAAATTAGAGCTTTTTTATTAATATAAAATATATAAAATTTTGTAAATATTATAGAGATGTTTTATATTAAAATTACTCGAGGATATATATATTGAAACTTAAAGCGCAGAGTATAAATAACATTGTTTTAAATATAAATAAAATTTATAAAAAAATATGTATGTCAACTTTATACATTCGAGGGTATAAATTAAATTTAATATATTTGAAATAATAAATAATAAAGATTAATGGATTAGCTGAATAAATATTGTCGTATAAAATTGTTAAAATCTTTAAAATAAATACGGAAAGTTAAGAATAATATATCTGTCAAGATCATAAATTCGTCAATTAATTATTCAATAAAAAAGCGTCTACATACGAAAATGAAATGAATTATTTAAATATTAAAATCTCCGATTTAATATTTTTTATTCTAATTTTGAAAACATTATATTAAAAGTCGGATCGGAAATGAAAGGAACTATCTATCAATTGATATAAAAAATTTAGAGCAAAATTTTTGTATAACATCCGTTTTAAATGCAGTCGGCAAAGTTGTAACTAATCGAATGTCATAGCAAGCTGTAAATCAGAGATACTCGGACGACATTTTCAAGCACTTCCGATAAATTTACGGGTTCATATATGTGTAATACATATATCTATAGGATGTCTATATACGAGCTACTCGTTCATAAATTTTTTTTCCTTGGCTACTTGCCCGACTATAAAAAAAAACGAGTCGCACTAGTTTTTACCCGGCAATTAATGTCGAGATAAAAAATATCAAAGATATGATTCTATCTTTTTATTGTTTTGCGAAAAATTTTATCTACATTTTCATTACAGAAAGGTAAAAGACCCAGTTATGGACACTGGCCTAGTTGTTTGACACTTGCGAGTTTATTCTAATTAAAAAAGTGAAATTTTCTCGTAAAACCAATTATCTTAATGTTTACAATTCAAAGATTATCTATATTATTAAGAGAATAAGAGAATTTTCTGTGACCAGTGTATTTATATGATAGAATGGATTTTTACGGTTAGATTTTTTATTGTTGGAAAGGTCTTTACTTGAATTTGTGCCTTTTCAAGATTTAATATCATTATCACTGATAGTCAATTTATATTATAAGTATTTAGGCTGCATTTGAAAATACTCAATCTCTAGATACATAATTAAGAAATGACTTTTTATTTAGTGAAATATTGACATTTTTAAAAATATAAGCTCATCCCGATGTTATACTCATCGAGACCTTTCATTTGAGTACCCACATCAATTTTTCATATATTTTATATATTTATGTATATAATATATATAATATATACATGAATATATGAAAAATATATCAAAATGCATGTGGGTACTCAAATGAAAGCTCTTGATGAGTGTAACATCGGGATGATCTTATATCTTTAAAAACGTCCATTGTTAAGAAAGTACAGTGTAATTTAACATAATCAAGAAATGACCTTTTATCTTGTGAAATATTGACATTTTTAAAGATATAAACTCATCCCGATGTTATACTCATCGGGACCTTTCATTTAAGTACCCACATTAATTTTTCATATATTTATATATATTGTATTATATATGTATATATGAAAAATATATCAAAATGCATGTGGGTACTCAAATGAAAGCTCTTGATGAGTGTAACGTCGGGATGAGCTTATATCTTTAAAAACGTCAACAGTTAAAAAAAGTACAGTGCAATTTAACAAAAGTCATTATTTAATAAAGCAAAATTTTATTTATTTAAGTTCACAAATCACGGCAGTCACTATGTGACTGCAGATTACTAGTATTTATTAATTTTTTTTTAATTAAAATAAAATTGCAAGTGTCACTAACTGGGTCTTTTCTTTAAATTATTTGTTTCTAATAAAAATTTTGTGTAAAGGTGGAGCGCCCGATGTAGTGAGAACAACGGACGGCCGATATACAAGAGGGATCGTAGGATGTATCAGTGATCTAGTGTTAGACTCGGATTTCTCGGTGGTGCTCTCATCGCCCGAACAGGCCACCAACACGCACTCGTGCATCCCCTGAGCCTACCGCAGGACTCCGGATGTCCAAGTCCGAGCTTACGGAGCGTGAAACCGCGACAGGAAAATTCATGGACTTGGAACTTATAGTGTACAAGTCCCTCAGGCCACTCCATACACCGTCAGGACTCTCCGTCTCCGTCTCGTCCACTAATTTATCTGTTCCTCCTTTTTTAATCACAACTTTACCTCACCGCGTAATGGTAAACTCATGTTCTTTCTTAAGTTTTTAGTTATTAGTTATAATTATTTTTTTTTAATTATTATTTTTATTTAATAAAAATAAACAAAAGTAAATTTAACTAATTATATTTAAGTAACTGTAAGGATGTATATCAGTAATTAAGGCGACAAATATCTTACAATTGTACATATTAATTATAAATTATAAATTATTGTAAAGCTTTTTAAGCACCTACTTCATTATTACCATGTAAAGTTACAGGCAGTCTAGACGGGTTATTTTTTTTTTCTTTAAAAATTCCAAAGTGGTTGCAAAGGAAAATTTTTAGTCATATTTTATTTATATCAAATTAATCTGAATTTTTTTAAGCAAAAGAGTAATTTTACTTTTTACATAAAAAAAAAACTAAGCTTATAACGTTAAAAATTTAATACCGCACTCGCATTAACGTTTGGCGATAGTGGAACAGACTACGCGCATGCGCAAGAGTTGTTCCGGAGTAGAACAGCTTTTGCGCATGCGCAGAAACTAAAAAATAATTTATACCTTTTTTTTAATTATTTTTGTCTAAAAAAATTAATCTTGCGACCACTCTGCAATTATTAACAATTAATTATTAACATTAATAGCTAAACAAAATAAAAAAAATTTTTTTTGGTGTAAAAATTTGAAATTGATAATTACTGTGATAGATTTATCATTTTAAATAGTAATTGTTTGAATAAATAAATAATTAATAATTGATTAATCAAATAAATGTCTGAACTGCCTTTAAATATAAAGCGAGTCTAATAATATTGAATAGTCTAGTCTAGATATAAATAAAATGATTAGTGCGGCTAATTGGGCCTAAATGAAAGGATAAAATGATAAAAAAAAAAAAAACCCCTTTGTGTCAATTTTTAACTAAAAAAATAAAACAGTGTCTGGAAATAATAAAATATATTAAATTCATTTGAAAAATAGATGTATAGTTATGCACGACTGCACTAAATTATTGTGAATAATAGCAATTAACTAGAACACACGCTTAGCATATATTTCACGAGTGATTAAAAAGTAAAAGTAAAAGTTTAAAAAAACTAAAACTATAATTAACAAGCAAAAAAATTCAAGCCGGTAATTTTTATACGAGACACATCAGCTCGTCATTTACTTTTATAATAATAATGATAAATAAAATATCTAAAATATATTTAAACGTATATAACTTTTTCACATTTTTTAAAATAGCTCACTGAGCTTCGATGTGAAATGCACAGTGTATACGTCCATATACAGATACATTTACAGAAACATTAATGAAGATATATTATATAAATATATATGTATGTATGTATGTATGTATGTATGTACAAATGTGCATATACATTTGCATTCATGGATGTACGTGTGTATTACATTTCAGCTTGATAAAAAATTTACCAGGTGACCTCTTTTTAGAAGTTTCAAGATCGTTAAGTGGTCGTAACTACAGGGTGATATGGTTATTTAATATACTGTCTTATACTTGCTGTTATATACCTATTTATATTATATTACATCACATTTGAATCGTCTATACCACTTAATGCAGACACACATTACTACTGAAAAGTAGTATAAGTTTTAATTAAACGCGGCTGCTTTTTAATTGATCAATTTTATTTATTTATTTCAAGATAATTAAACAACGGTTATGTAAATGCATTTGGTTAATTAAATCTGATATCGATGTAAAGTGAGACACCCGAGGTCCAGTCTTTTTATACACTCTATCACAAGTTATTATTTTATGTTTTTATGTAGATGCCACAGTAATGTTTTACTTGAGTTGAGTAATTAAAATTTAAATTTAATTTTGTTAATTGATGGAGGTTTTATTTTAAAATAAAATAATTTGTCGGTCGGCTTTAATTAAAATTACGAGAGAAAAATTTAGGTGAAATTCTAGAGACAGGCATGTGAAGTTATATTTTTTTTAATTAAATTTTTTTTTAATTTTTCTTAAAAAAAATTTGTCTAAGTTTACGTGTTATGAGATTAGTTTACAAAAAATGTGTTAAAAAAAATTTTTTTTTTTAATATTTTACAATTAATTCAAATCCGAATTTTTTAGTGGATAAATTTTGATTTATTGAAAATTAAATTCGTTTTAAATAAAAAATTATAATTTTTTAATAATATTCTTAAAAAAAAAAAAATTTCGTCAAAAAATTTTTTATGTTAAATATTTTTTTGTTAATTAATTGTTTTTTAAATTTTTCTTAAAAAAAATTTATCTAAGTTTACGTATTATAAAATTAGTTTACAAAAAATGTGTTAAAAAAAATTTTTTTTTTTAATATTTTACAATTAATTCAAATCCGAATTTTTTAGTGGATAAATTTTGATTTATTGAAAATTAAATTATATCAAAGGTTTAAAACCACTATTGTCATATCTAGAAAAAAATGAGAGACTCAAGACAAAAATCGAAGGATATTAAATTAATATATATCATAAGTAGATTAAATTGTCTATTTAATGAAGCTATAAATAAATGTTATTTTACATGCTTCAACTATATATATAAATATATAAAATATAATACCAACATAACATAATATAAAATAATAAATTATATAATATATAATAAACACCAATACACAAATAACACAACACATTTCGTCAACGTAGAAGCAATCGGCTATAGTCAATTTTGTACAAGCTGTTATTTTTCTCAGAACTATATACATATAAATATAACAAATATATATTAAAAATTAAAAGTATATATACATATATCATTTATTAAAGTAAAAATTTATTAGAATAATTTAAACTTGTTCTTATAATTAAAAGCTAATTTATTTCAGCCGGACGTTTTAACGACGGAATTATAAAAGGCGAAGGAAGCAATACTTATCTTAATAACACTGTTAATTATCATTACTTCATCTGTAATTATAATTAATAATTATATTATATGTTAAGAAATGAATGACAAAAAGCGTAAATTAATCTAAATAATTATAAACTGAACAAATGCGTTAGTTAATGGTTTGTATGTCGCTGATGTACGATCTTTATTAACTAATTGTCGCTTTTAACTTTAAAATCCTCTGTACATGCTCCCTAGATAAATTATCCCCGAAAAATTAATAAAGGGATTAGATTATTTCTTGCTATTTAACGGCTTGCGTGATTAACTCTTATTGATGTATAATAATTACGGAATTATAATTACAGTAAGGTATAAGTTATAAGTATGAAGTATGAATATATTATATATTAAATATAATGTAAAAGGAAGACATGTTTTTGCACTATTTACCGATTGGCAGATGTATTATTAATAATCACGCGCTCTTTGAATTATTTATCGTTATTTTATAAATATGGACTATTAATCGGAGGTAAAGTAGCCGAAGAATAAATATCTTTTATTTCTATATATAATTCTTCTACGAAAAAAAATATATATATATTTTATTTTAATTAGATTTTTTTTCGTTGAAAACTTAGATAAAAAAATTTGTATATCTTCATCTATAAAAAAAAAACTGAAATTTTCCAATATATGAATGCAAGCATATAAAAAATTTTTCATTTACATTTTTGGTGAAAAAAAAAAATATAAATTAAATATATGTGGCATATAGACATTTCATATTTTTTCTCAAGAAGGATAAAAATACATATATATATTTTTTTTTAATTAAAAGAAGAAATTATAATAAAAATTGCGGCTTATCTCATTTCAAAATTTCATTTGTTCCTTAAAAAAAATTTAACTGTTGAAATTAATGAAATTTTCAATTTTTAAAGAAAAGATATAAAAAAATAAATTAAATTGTAATAAAAAATAAGAAATTAAGACAAAAAAATCAGGTAGAAAATTTTTCAATTACTTTGTTTAAAAATCCTACTTTTTTTCTTAAAAAACAAAATTTAACTGTTTAAATTAATGAAATTTTCAATTTTTAAAGGAAAGATATAAAAAATAGTTAAATTGTAATAAAAAAATTAAAAATTAAGAAAAAGGTAGAAAATTTTTCAGTTACTTTGTTTTAAAATATTACTTTTAAAAAAAAAAAAAAATTAACTTTTTAAATTAGTAAAATCTTTAATTTGTAAAGGGAAGATATGAAAAAAATTAAAAAAAAAGGTAGAAAATTTTTTAGCTACTTTGTTTTAAAATAAGACAGTCGAATTAAGAATTTCTTCTCAATATTATGCGATTAAAATTCTGTCAGAAGAAATTATAAAAAAAAAAAAAAAATAGATTTGAATTTTTAAAATTCTCTAAAACAAAAAATTAATTTTCCGTCGGCTATTTTATTACCGATAAAAAAAAATGTTATTGTTATTTCACGTCTACTGATAGTAGACTCTACGCTTTATTCGATATTTTTACTGATTTACTAACTTAAATATAATAAAACTAGTAATAATAATAATAATAATTAATTTTCAAAGAGCAGCGTCTAACAAGGCTGAATGGAATGTATTTAAGACAAGATCATAATCGTAAAAAAAAGCTAAATAAATTAATAGCAAATTCTCATTGTCCAGAATTAAAAATTTATTTGAAAATAGTCTATTGATAAAAAAACAATAAATGAGATATAAATATATAAATATATAAATAAATTGAATATATAAGAGAAAATAAATTGAAACATGATAGAAAAAAAAAAACAAATATATATATAAATATTATATTGAACATAATGCTATAAATATAAATATAAAAATAAAAATAATTATAATAATAAATAATAAACAAACTATTTCTATTATGTCCGTCTGCAAAGTCTATTAGAAAGAGTCTATCCTGTCTATATAACTAATCACCCGTCCTAAAATACATTCCCCTATATAAATATGTATATACATTTATGTTTTAATGGGTGTATGAGTATGTTAATGATTAATGACGATGAATAGCGTGTGGAAAAATATTAATTGACGGAAAAATCATTTAAAATGCGGTCATTTTCTAAAACTAGTAAAGCATATCAAATTTTTTATTACTATTTTTTATTAACTAATTGACTGATTAATGATTATTTGTATGACATATGGGGAAAATTATTTTTATTGATTATTGGTACTGGTTTTGTTTATCCACTTATTGTATGCACGACCACCGGAACCTGGTTCTATGGATTTAATTATAAATGCGTGAATCTGCAGTCATCGAACTTGTAGACGTTAATTATTTATCAAAAGAGTAATTAATTATAAATAAGATATGGGCGTATTTGTGTACGCGGTAAACAAAATAATTAATAATGTCTCGTATGTAAACATATGGGGGTGTGTGTTTCTGCCTATGTTGTCAAAATGCATCAATAAAGACAAGATTTTATAAATTAAAAATTCTTACTTTTATTTATTCACACCTTATAAAAAAAGTCCCAAGCGGCACAAATTTTTTATTGTTAATGTTTTGTTGAATTTAAGTTGAAGATTATTTATTTTTTAACTTCTTGTTGAGTGAAATTCTACTAAAAAGTCAACATTTTTTTTTGTCACGCTTGGGGTTTTATTATTTTTTAATAAATCAGTACTACAATATGCTAAGTTGAAAAAATATTTAAAAAAAATTATTGTGATGAAAAATAATAAATTGGTTAAAAGTTTTACTTTTCAGCTGAAGAAATAAAAATTTTTTTTTATAGTAACTTATGCAAAAAAAAATTTTTTTTGACCAGTAATTTAATTGAGAAAAAAAAAAGTTGTTGAATTTCAGTTAATTTAAGTATCATAAAAAACAAAAATTAAATTCGCCGACACCTAAAAATTTTTAGAATTCTTTTTTATTGAAAAAATCATCACAGAAAAATAAAAAAAAATTTCATTTGTATAAAACTTGAAAAACTATAAGTGCAATTTTTAAAAAATATTTTTTACTTCTAATTTAATAAATGAAAAATTATTAAAAAATTAAAAATGTCGGCCAACTTTAGTATTCATAAAATTGATATTAAAATTAGATGACACGGAGATTGACGGAGATTTGAAATTTTTTTATAAATTTATAGCAATGAAAAAAATTTAATAAAAAAATTCCACATGTGAAAAATGACATTAAAATATGAAAATTAAGTTAGCCGACATTTAAAAATTTTCAGAATTTTTTATTTACTGAAAAAATTATTCCAAAAATATTAAAAAAAAAAAAACTTTAAAGAAACTACACATGCAATTTTTTTAAAATATTTTTTAGTTATAATTTAAGAAATTAACAAAATAAATAAAAGCAAAAATGTCGGCTAACTTTATTATTATCATTAAAGTTAACAGTCACTTAATTTTTCAGGGTGTATTTGACGAATTCCTATGTTACTCGCGAAAAAAAAATTGTCATTTTTGTTAGTTCAAAAGTATTTTTGCCGAAACTTAGAAATTTCCGAATTGCGTGATCATCATTAAAGTACGTCCAAAAAACATTCTTTTATTTCTTAAATTTTTTTCCACTTAAGAATTATAACCGTTACTTGATTTCATTATTATTTCACGTCTCTTTGTTAAGTAACATTTTTATTTATAAAAAATTAATTTGTTTTTTAAATAAGTGTAATAAGTTTGATGAAGTTTATAAGAAATGATTCGATATTCCACACTAACAATCAGACCGCGCTTACGCGCGCACTTTAAATCTAGTCATAGGGACCGAGCCTCTAGACTATCACGCCAACTGGTGATAGAAATTGTAAGCTAATGGGCAAAAATTTTAAACTCTTACATGTGATTTAATGTTAATTTATTTTTTATTTAAATAAATTAATAAATTGTTTGAAATTTTTTTAACTGTAGAGTTTTGACATATCACGACATACATAAATATATAAATATATCAAGTCGGAACAGTCAAATTGACAAACTTGTGAAATTTTATTATTTTTCGCTCAGTACTAGTGGTATCTCAGAGAAAAATGACAGGCATACGAAGTGTTTAGAGGCAGAATTGAACTTTGGAGGCTATGTTTACATGGCTATTTGACTTAATAATGTTGAATTTCTTTTAACACATTTAATATACATGGCCTAAAGTTTTTTTTTAACTTTCTCAATTAATTTTGCTTCCAATACGACCGATTAATACTGGTCAAAAAGCATATTTTATTATTTTTTCTATTATTTAGTTAAAAAAGTACATAAGGTATTGTAATACTTTTTGCCCATTTAGTGCTTTTGTTAAACACCAGGGCGCGCCATTTCCGACTAATGTGCTGCCTCTACAGTTAGCGCTCGGTCCTTATTACAAATAGGAAATTAAATCTTTCTATAGATGGCGACTCTTTTTTTGTCTTTTCGGATAAATAAGTTTTCGGTGTGATTTTCGCTTACACGAAAACGATGTAAGCCAAGTCGTAAGCCATCGTGTGATAATTGGAGGTGTTTTTTTAACTCTAAAACACTGATCGCATTTAACAATTGAAAAAATTTGTCTTTAAGATAGTCTAATACAAAAGTAAGTTGCATCATTCACTAGATTATTGAATTAACCTATTTATTTGTTTATTTATTATTAAAAACAGCCTAAAATTTACTTAAAATAAATAATGTATTAAATTAATTAACATATGGTTTTTTTTTTATTCTTTTAGAATACAAAAATGCCGGAACAAGACCTTGCACAGTTGTCCATAGGTAATTCACTATTTATTATATTAATCAATAAAAAAACTGATTATTAAATATTTAAATGACATTTTTTGATTTATTTTTTAATATACAAATTTTCTCCAAAAAATTGTTTTCAAGAAATTGTATTTTTTATTTTTTTAAATTTCTACATGTCAATTTTTTTTGCTCCAATTTATTTGTTAAAAAAATTCTTAAGATCATCAAATATCTACTAAATTAACTTTCACATTATTTAATGAAAATTAACTTGGCAGAGATGTTTAATAATTTTTGTAACAAATAAATTATGGCAAAAAAAAATAATATTTTAGAACAAATTTTTTTTGTTAAATAAAATTAAAAAATAGTCAAGTGATTGCTAAATTTAATGTCATAATTATTAAATAAATTTACCAAACACAGGCAGCATTTATACATCGGAAAAAAATGGCTCTGATGAAACCGGTGACGGGAGTGAAGCCAAACCCTTCAAGACAATTCTCCAGGCGATGAGACACGCCGGTAAGGAACCCTTCCCAACGATCTACCAAGACTCAAAAGACGAGGGCCAGAAGTACGAGCCAGCTGCCAAGTCCCAGCTCAAGAAGATCCAGAAGATCTGGGTGAGAGAACAGTATAAGAACGAGGACAAGCAGAAAAAATTGACCGAAGATGACGAGAAGCGTACGAAAAATCTAGATGATGCCAAATCTATAGTCATTGAAGAAGACAAATCATTGCCTGCTGCTATTGGAATTAAAATCAAAGACGCTGTTGAACATCGGGATAAACGCGTCAAACTTTTCGGTTGGGTACATCGCCTGAGACGTCAAGGTATATTTTTAACTGGTTTTTGCTTATCTTTTCTTGCGTTTTTAGTAAATTTGTTTACTTAATTGGATTTTTATTTGTACAGGTAAATCTCTTATGTTCATTACACTGCGTGATGGTACTGGTTTTTTGCAGTGTGTACTCAATGATAAATTGTGTCAAATTTATGATGCCTTACTACTCAACACTGAGGCTTCTGTTGAATTGTTTGGAATCTTGAAAAAACTTCCTGAAGGCAAAACTGTAATTAATATTTCTTAATTTATTTTATACTAAAATTGCAAATACATTTCAGTGATAAATAAATATTTTTATTTAACAGGCACCTGGAGGACATGAATTGGCTGTTGATTATTGGAGAGTAATTGGTCACTCCCCACCGGGTGGAGCTGACTCTATTCTCAATGAAGAAGCTCACCCAGATGTTCAATTGGACAACAGACATATTATGATCCGTGGTGAAAATGTAATATAAACTTTTAAATTTATATATCGACGTTCTAATTAGCAAATTGTCTAACTCTATTTTAGAGAATATCTTCTATTTCTACGAAAAAAACAATTAGTTTAAAATTTATTATTTAGGTTTGAATCATTCAAATAATTTATAATTGGATTATTGCTACATCAAAATGTTAAAAAATCACCCTCTAAAAAATAACGAGTTAGACAAATTGTTAATTATACCGTCTAATATATGTATTATTTTTTTGACAGCAATTAAAATTTTTCAGACTTCACAAGTACTGAAAATGAGGTCGGTATTGCTTAAAGCATTCAGAGATCATTATTCAGATCGGGGTTACAATGAAGTAACACCACCTACTCTTGTACAAACTCAAGTCGAGGGTGGATCGACTTTGTTCAAGCTCAACTACTTTGGGTATGTTTTAATTATTATATTATTTCGATTTTTACTTGTTTACCAATCTTGGTTTTTACAAGGCTGAGTAGATGGTAGCTGTCGCATGCAGCGAGTGCGCCACCATCCTTTTTCACTCCTGTGTTTCACCTTATAATCAACCTTGTTTTCGCACATTTAGTTATTTATTTATTTTTTTTTTATTTTTATTTATCTGGTAAAGAATTCTATCGAGGTGCAAAGACACCTGTTTATAGAACCAGTACAAAAATATCAATTTTACAATATATATACTTTTTACAAAATTTTTGTTGATAATACAATGCAAAAAGATAATAAGTACAAAAAGTAATAAATTTATAAAGAAAGAAATACAAAATTATAAAATAATTATCATAAAAAGAAATATCCAATCAAATACTCGCATTTTCCATTACATTTTTTAAGCATGTTAACCATTAAGGTTTCTTATCCAGTAACTTAACTTTTTTTTTTAACAATTTTTTACTACAGTCTATAGTTTTCATATCAGCAGGGAGTTTGTTATAATATTTAAATTAATTGCTACATAATAAGCATTCTGAGTACTAATAGTTTTGTTTATTTTTGGTAGAATTAGCAGCTTAGATCTTGTATTTGAAACATTTTTCATAGAATAGGTTTTTACATTCTTGATAGTAGTAAATTAATGCATTTATTATAAATGAGTCTCTAATTGTCAAGGGGATATTGTTGTAATTATTTTTACATAGCTTTTTAATTATTTTATGTTGAAGAGATGTGACAGGTTTAATCGAATTGTTATAGGCTCCTTCCCCATGCAACAATGCCATAGTTTATTATGCTTTCAAACAGTCCATGATAAATAGTTTTTAAAATAGAAGAATTAAGTACCTGGGTAAGCTTGTAAAAAAGAAAAGTGAAATAGTTAAGCTTCTTAGATAATTCATAGGCATGTTTATCCCACTTCAAGTGTTTATCAAAATATACCCTTAAATATTTACAATTATCAACTCTTGTCAGAGGCTTACCATTTATTTGTAAATCAAACTTATTTGGGATACTGTCTATGTAGCTTCCAAAGGTAATAAAGGTAGATTTTTCCACATTAAGAGATAGTTGGTTTTCCCTGAGCCATATATCTATTTTATTAAGCCAATCAGTTAATTTATATTGGACTTCCAGCTATTTCCAGTACAAGAAATAGCTGTGTCATCAGCATAGGAAACTATAGCATTGCTTGGTATCACTTTAAAAATATCATTTATGTATAATAAAAACAGCAAAGGCCCAAGAATCATTATCACATATAAATATTCTCAACTTTTATTCCTCATACCTTTCTATTGATTGTTGGAATAGTGGCAATGGGAAAACCACAGAAAAAACCCATGCCAGTACAAATGTTTTAATTAATTTAATTACTTATTGAATAACAACATATATAGATAATAATAATAATTAATTATGGATATTTATTAAAACAGAGAGGAAGCATTTTTAACCCAGAGTTCTCAATTATACTTGGAGACTTGTATTCCATCGATGGGTGATGTCTACTGTATCGCTCAGTCTTACCGAGCTGAACAATCGCGAACCCGTCGTCATTTAGCTGAGTACACTCACGTCGAAGCTGAATGTCCCTTCATAACATTCGACAATTTATTGGACCGCTTGGAAGATCTGATCTGTGATGTTGTTGATCGGGTTTTAAAATCCCCTCTCGGGCACATTGTTCACGAACTGAACCCTGGTTTCCAAAAACCCCAAAAACCCTTCAGAAGAATGAACTATTCTCAAGCTATTGAGTACTTACGCGAGAACAACATCACTAAAGAGGATGGTACTTTCTACGAATTTGGAGAGGTAATTTTATATTACAAATATTTAATATTTTTAATTCTTAGTTTTGAGTTATATAATATAATTATTTAATTTTTATTTTAATTAATGAATTGAGTTATATATTATTACTAATATTATTTTATAAAAAACAAATTTTTTTTATTTGACAAATCTACTTCCATTTTAGCTGCCGAATGGCTTTTTTTTAAATTATTTTTAAGAAGCAAAAAGCAATTAAAAAATTAATTATTTTTATAAAAAATTTAATCAGGATATTCCAGAAATGCCAGAAAGAAAAATGACTGATAAAATCAATGAACCGATAATGCTCTGCCGCTTCCCAGCAAATATTAAATCATTCTACATGTCCAAGTGTGCTGAAGATCAGCGTTTGACTGAATCTGTTGATGTTTTGCTGCCTAGTGTCGGTGAAATTGTTGGAGGATCGATGCGTATCTGGGATTTCGATGAGTTATTGGAAGGATACAAGCGCGAGGGAATCGACCCAACTGCTTACTACTGGTACACTGACCAGGTAAATTAAGAATAAATTAAATTTGTTATTTATTAAGAAAAACAATTTATTAATTGAAAAATTATTTAATAGAGAAAGTATGGAACATCTCCTCACGGTGGATACGGACTTGGTCTCGAGAGATTTTTGTGCTGGTTATTGAACAGATATCACATTCGTGAAACCTGCCTGTACCCACGTTTCTTGGAACGCTGCAAACCTTAAAGATTCAGATCCAAGTTTTTATGGACAAATAGAAGCTTTGATTCCATAATTTTTTCAGATTACACACATTCAATGTTAATTATTTGTATTAATATAATATTACTAATAAAAAGCTTCTGCACTCAGTAATAGATATTTTTGTAGTAATAAATTCAGCTTATGTGCTAACTATTGTAATAATTAAATTTAATCAAGAAATTTTTCAATAGCTTAACTAAAAGATTTCAGATTACAATTACTTATGTAAAATAATGATTTAGTATATATAATTAAGAGACTAGAAAAAATTTTTTAACGGATATATCTTTATCGTAAATTGGGTTTAATATTTTTTAGCGATAGCTATTTATGATTTAAGTAATTGAGAGAGTAAAGAAAATTTTGAGACGAGCGTATTATATTATTCATCAGAAAGGTCGAGACAAGAATTAGTGCCTTTTCACGGTTTTATATATTTTTCAGTGATTATCAATTTTTTATGTTAAATTTTTGGTTCTATAAATTTGTTCGACCACTTTTAAGTACCCAAACTGTATAGTGTGATTATAAAAATAAAAAAATCACCAAGTCAAAATTTTCTTATCCATAATCTGTAAATCTCGGCACGTAGTGACTCTGCTGATTGTTAGTAACCAGCAACCTTGCAGTCACTATGTGACTGCCGTGACTTGTGAACTATAAATAAAATTTTGAGTTTTGTTGAATTGCACTGTACTTTCTTAAATATTGACGTTTTTAAAGATATGAGCTCATCCCGATGTTACACTCATCAAGAGCTTTCATTTGAATGCCCACATGCATTTTCATATATTTTTCATATATAAATATATAAAATATATGAAAAAATGATGTGGGTACTTAAATGAAAGGTCTCGATGAGTGTAACATCGGGATGAGCTTATATTTTTAAAAATGTCAATATTTCACAAAATAAAAGGTAATTTCTTGATTATATTAAATTGCACTGTACTTTCTTAACAATTAACGTTTTTAAAGATATGAGCTCATCCCGATGTTACACTCATCAAGAGCTTTCATTTGAGTACCCACATGCATTTTTCATATATTTTTCATATATTCATATATATAAATATATAAAATATATAAAAAATTGATGTGGGTACTCAAATGAAAGGCCTCGATGAATGTAACATCAAGATGAGCTTATATCTTTAAAAATGTCAATATTTCACAAAATAAAAGGTCATTTCTCAATTATGTATCTAAAGATAGAGTTAAATAGTAAATTTAAGTTGTTAGTCACAGTACAACAATGATAATAAAACAAGTACTACTGTTTAATTTTTAATACATATATATATAATTTACATACAGTTAATAGTCATGTATACAACACATCGTGCGGGCTTTAATGCACCATTTAAATATAATTATTATTATTATTGATATTAACGTGTAAATTGATAAGCAACCAATCCTCATAAAATAAAACTAAAAATTGAAACTGAAATTAGTTTTATTATCCAATAGTAATAATTAATAATAATAATAATTATAATTATTACAATAGAAACAATAACAATAAAGTGTACAATACTGTAATTTGACTTTTACATTTAAAGTTCATACATTTGTGTTTAATTGCTTTATTATCTTAATTTACCTTACCTAGTAACAATATATTATGATCTCATTTCGTTATTATGTTTTGTTATTATTAACTATATTTTTTTTTTTTACTTTTCACCATTTTCTACACAATATTTATATATATATATGGATATATATATACATATTATTGTTTAATCGTTAATATTCAATATTCAATATAATTTAATATAACATTTTTTTAACAATTTACCTGAATAATAGGTAATAGCCTTTATAGTCAAGACCAAGTGCAATTATTATCAATCAGTTTCATTTATTATTTTTAATTAATTAAATAGCTTCTTTATATATTTAATTTGTTGACGCTTACGCCTCATTATAGACCACTCGATCTCCAACAATCTTGAACAATCTGCATTACAAGATTACACCGCAATTAATTTACTACTGATTCATTAAATATTTTTTTTTAAGTGTCTACGGCAAATAAATCAATAATAAGCGTATAATGATTCTATTGGTCGTAAAATAATTGCCTACCTGTGGCTTAAAAAAAAAAATTACAAAATATTGTACAATTTAATTTTAATGTAAATATAAATTAACCAGTTAAGTGAGCGCTAAACTGATAATTTATTATTTTATTTTGACATAAAAGCAAGTAAACTATCAAAGCTAACAAAATAATGCGTCCAACAGATTCTAGTACTTAATTACATAGTATTACAATTTCAAGTAACCATTATATATTTAACTAACTATTTGCTATTAAATAAATAAATATTATTATCGTTTATGGTTAATTACTTTCATGGTTTAATTTAAATAATTATTTATTATTTATGTGATGACTTAGTTACTTGAAATTGTTGGCTGGTAATGATTGACCGTCTATCATGCAAATCAGCGTCTAATAATTATAATTCATTTACAATTATTAATTATTATCAATTGATTATCTTTATCGTATAAATAACAGTGTTAATAATTATTATCAGTGTTATTATTATTATTATTATTATTATAATTATAGTTATTTCACGCGTTTAACAGTAGAGTAAATAGATAATAGAATAGAGTGAAGGATTTTTTTTTTTTATGATTACGGTTTTTTTTTTTTTTTTTTTCTGATTGAAAGCAGCAATACTCCACACATTTTTCAACAACAAAAATATCGTATATTTATTATATATATATATATATTTTTTTTTTCTATTATTGTTCATTATTTGCAAGTGTAGACATGCTACTGAAAATGCACGATTCAAAATACGAATTTCGGAAAAAATAGACCCGAAATAATTTTTAAGTTATGAAAAATTTTCATATTATTTCATTAAAATTATTATGAAAAAAAAAAAATAATAATAAATTTTTTTTGTAACAAAAAATGGAGGATGTGATAGAATTATTCTTATTATTTTTATTTTATAATTTTAATGAAATAATATGAATTTTTCATAATTAAAATTTTTTCCAGGTCTATTTTTTTCGGTCTATTTTTTCCGATTACCCAAAATACAGAATTAAATATTATTGATAGATTTTTTGTATTCAGATGAAAGATTATAAATAAATATATATAATTTTTTTATATCAAGTATGGAAATATAAATAATTATTAAATAGATAAAGGAAGAATAGAATGTTAAGATTACGATTCATTTAATTTAAATAGGCCATGATGCAAATGCCTTTAAAAATAATATTATTTTATTTATTATTAAATATATGATCGCATATCAAATGCATTTAAAGAGAATAAAATTGTGTAAAAACACAAAACGTTTTAATTGCAATTACATGCTTATAATCAATGGGATTACTTAAATAGATTTTATTTATTTATTTTTTTTTATTATTGATTTACGTTTAATAATTAACCTGCAATTATTTATCTACTAAGCAGTAGCGTCGAGCGTAGTTGGTTATAGTCAGAGAAAAAAAAAACTTTGCTTGAATTAACAAATAAAATATTTCTGTTACTTTGGCAGTGATTTAATCAATTGGAAGAAATTCTATGTAAGATAAATTATTTGTTTTTTAAAAATATATATGAAAACGTAAATGAAATTTGATTGTCAAAAATATATTTATAATACTTCTATTATTATTATTTAATGTATTATTTTTTTTTCATTGACTTTAACCATGACGTTCAAAATATTTGTTGGTGGTTATTTTTATATTTTGGTTTGCCTTTTACTCACTTTATTTACTTACGCAACTAGTAGTTTATGATTAAATAATAAACTTAGTGTCCTAGTAATACGTATGCACTACGCAGTCTCGCTCAGGCAATTGACGAACTTTCATGGAACCATCTGCACCACACGAGAATAAACGACCAGCTGAATCTACGTGTAGCTGAGTAACACCCTAAAAAATATTTTTTTTATATTAATATTTTTTCAATAATTAGTAAATATTAGCAACCATGCAGTCACTATGTGACTGCCGTAACCTATGAACTATAAATAAATAAAATTTTGCTTCATTAAATAATGACTTTTGTTAAATTGCACTGTACTTTTTTAAATATTGACGTTTTTAAAGATATAAGCTCATCTCGATGTTACACTTATCAAGAGCTTTCATTTGAGTACCCACATGTATTTTGATATATTTTTCATATATACATATATATAATATATAGAAATATATAAAATATCTGAAAAATTGATGTGGGTACTCAAATGAAAGGTCTCGATGAGTGAAACATCGGGATGACCTTATGTCTTTAAAAATGTCAATAGTTCACAAGATATTAATTAAATTGCACTGTACTTTCTTAACTATTGACGTTTTCAAAGATATAAGCTCATCTCGATGTTACACTCATCAAGAGCTTTCATTTGAGTACCCACATGAATTTTGATATATTTTTCATATATTTATATATATAATATATAAATATATGAAATATATGAAAAATTGATGTAGGTACTCAAATGAAAGGTCTCGATGAGCGTAACACCGGGATGAGCTTATATCTTCAAAAATGTCAATATTTCACAAGATAAAAGGTCATTTCTTAATTGTGTATTTAGAGATAGAACATTTCCGAATGCAGCCTAAATACTTATAAAAAAAAACTGATTTCATCATATGACTATCCTGGACAAAAAATTTTTTTTATTCTCTTAATAATATAGATTGTAAAATAATATTAATTACCTGGCCGATATTTTTAAAGAAGCTCGATCGAGGATGTTCACCGGGAAACGAATATAATAATGAATGGACGGTTAGGGCCCATACCTGTTAATTAAGAAAAAAATAAATAAATAACTATTATCAAAAATAATATTTCTTATTGATTATAATTTACTTTGATATCTCCATCACCAGCACCACTAACGAAAAATTCTTCATGAGGGTCAAGTGCCAGGCACTTAATGGCTGATTCGTGAGCTTGGAATCGATGTCTCTGTTGTCTTTGCCTTACGTCAAAAATATTAATATCACCTTTTTTGCCCCCGCTTATCAACAATTGATGTTGTGGAGCAAGAATAACTGAACTTGCCCCCTGATCGTGACAGGTAAAACCTTTAAAACAAACAAATTATATATAAATAATAAATTATCAACCAGATCTTGATTTAAATGCTTCACCTTGAACGAGAGATTTATTTTGCGGGAGTAATGTATCCCAGAGAGCTACATTGCGACCTTCAGAACCATGTCCTGCTGTAGCGACGAGACTGCAAGCTCCCAGGAATACAAAATCAGCAGTTACTTTACTGTGACATTGGTAATTCTGTAAAAAAAAAAAAAAAAATTTATGTGTTTATGGTAAATTAAATTTTACCATTGCTACATTGGTTTAATTATTTTTAATACTTATGAAAAGCTTTAGAAAATAACTGAATAGAAAATGTACATAGACAGTGAAAAAAATTTAATTTAATAAATAAAAAAAAAAATGTAAATTATTAAAAATATATAATGTCAAATTAATATATAAATATTATTATTATTATTATTATTATTATTATTATTATAAAATAATGTTTTAATAAAAATTGAGCCACTGTGTGAGTACATTAAATAAAGAGATAGAGAATCCTTTTTATTTTTTATAGTATAAAAAATAAAAAAAATAAATCATAATTTGTAAAACACTAAATATAAAAAGTGTAATTATTTACAAGTGGAGTCAATCTCATTTTGCCCTATGTTTGGCCACAGAAAAAAAATTTTCTATTTTTGATCGAATTGATCAATTTTTTTTTAAATTGTTCGTTTTTTTAATGTATTTAAAAAAAATATATATCAAAAAAAGATAAAATATAAATTTTATCCAAAAACATGAAAGCTAATATTTTTTCCAACTTTTAAAGGCAAAAAAGCTATCAAAATCTTTATTTTTTTCTTTTACGACATTTTTTATCATTAATGCGCCGTAAAAACAGGCAGAATAAAAAAAAAATTTTAAATGTTAATTTTTCACCTAGTTATGCCCAAAAATGGGGTTGACCCAACTTGTAAATAATTACCGTAAAAAGTGATACAAATAAAACCTATATTATTATTTTTAATATTTCTTAATTGACTTACAAAGAAAGGTCGCGATGTTCCTTCACGACACGCAACTTGGAATAAACTAAGATGACCATCGGAATCAGCAACTCCAAATTTATTACCGTGTTGTGAAAAATGTACACGTGTTACTTTAGCGAATGTTCCAGCTGGTCTTGGAGTTGATACTGCTGTTTGATGGCCCCATTCCCATAAAGATACTGATCCATCTTGAGATCCAGTTAAGTCTAAACATAAATACTAAATTGAAAATCTATTTTTTTTACATAACTTGTAAATAATTGATAAGAAAGTTAACTTACACAGAGGTAATAATGGATGTGCAGATAATCTTCTTATTCCATCAGTTTTGTGCTTCAGTATCTAGCAAAACAGAATTTAAGGAAAAATAAATAATGTTTAAATAATAATACTTATAAATAAATAAATAAATCAAAAAACAAATCAATTTAAGTAAATAATTAAACGCTAACATATATTATATTAATAAAATTTTAAATATAAAATCATCAACGAAATAAATCCGTGATAATAAAAATAATATATTTTCAAATGGCATCGTGAAAACCGTTAATTACATGCGAAATTATTAAAATATTTAAAAATTTTCAAACCATAACAAGCTCAATCAGTATAAATAATTATTTATAAAATAATTATTTATTTACAACTAACAAACCAAAAAATTCAGTTGTTTAAATTTCTAATTAAAAAAAAAAATTGCTTGAATGGTTTTATTTAATAATTAACACTAATTCATTTCATGCTTAACAGTTGTGTAATGTAAAGAAAATTACTTAAAAAAACGAATAATTATTATGTGTAAATTTTAAATTATTTTAATAAAATATTTGTGTGAAAGTATTTGTAAATTAATTAAAGTTTTAACAGAATAGATAAAAATTAGCAATGAGTTATGCGAATGTGTATGAATGTTTATTAATTTAAAACATGGTCGGACAAATTGCGTTTTAATTTTTTACATTCGAGTGATGATTATGATAATGATTAAAGCTAGTTAATTGAATGGTTTTAATAATAATAAAAAAAAAAAAGAGACTAGCGTCTATGTCGCTTAAAAATTTTTTACTAATAAACCATGCCTGCAATCGAGAGAAAGCTTCGTATTAACAATTATTTTACTCAAAGGATTTTTTAATTTATTTAATGATTAATTAAATTTATTAATATCAATTTACAATAAATAGAAAAAGTGTGTAAAAAATAAAAAAAAAAAATCCTTTGAGTGTGAATATAATAAACATTATAAACGGACAAATAACTGATGAATATGAACAATATACATATTTATAAATAAATATATATTATATTTATATAGATATGTATATACAGCACTAGGAATGGCTAGGGTCTTGTTAAGATGTTAATCTCACCGGCTTCATTAAGTGTTTACTCCTATCAGCGACAAACTGACAGAAGCGCAGGTCGTGGGAGCCAGGAAAAGCGGGCATCCCCTTCATCTGATCGAGCGCGTGAGCCATCAGGTCAATGTGACGCAGACCAAGTTAGATGTTAGGCAAGCATTGAACAAGCAACATTGTCTCCGTCACCACTTGTGCGAGTTTAATAATACAACCCCATAATAAACTATTTCTCAATAAATAAAAACTATCCTCTGAATTTTAACTCCCGATTTAGAATTTTTTTTTTTTTTTTTTGTTAAATTACGGTAATAATTTGGATAATTGTTATTTTATAATTATACCCTCGTGATATTCAATGTATAGTGCACCCAAGGGGTGAGGCACAATGCTAATTGTAAAATAGTTTCTTTTTCTCTCGAATATTTTTTTTTATTCTTAGTCATGCACTTATGTGAATTATTTTGTAGTAAATTATTTAAACTTTACATTTTACATCCGAATTTAGCAGTACACAATGATATTGTTCCATGAGGTCTAGATTAAAAAAAAACTAAAGCCAAAATTTTTTACTAGTGACAATTATTTAGGACAATAACAGTAGACTAAAAATTTTAATTTTTATAATTGAGCTTTTGAATTTTTTTTTATATTTATGAATTTTGGTCTTAGTTATTTTTGACAGACTTTTTTTTTTATGTAAAATAATTTATTCATAATAGAGTAATTATTTTAAATAAATTGTTTATAATAATTTATAAACAAAAAATTAATTTATAATTACGATATTAGTATTAAAGTGATTCTAAAATATTTTTTTTAATTACAGAAAAAATCATCACATTTTTTGTATTCAGACTCACAATACTGAAGAACCACTTTTATAGAAAAATCATTAAACTAAAAATTTATTTAATTACAAAAAAAAAAAAAACTGTAATAAATACTTTTAGATAAATAAAAAATGTTCACATAATCGTGTAGTGCAAATTAATGATGTTGACAAATAAATTCAATCGTTATCAATAATATATTTGTGCTGAATCGTTAGAATGGTGTTTAGGTTGAAAAAACAGAAATTATTGTAAAGCCAGCTATGATTTACAAAGAATATCACTTTGTGTGTACACTCTCCTACGGGATTATGAATTGAATAGAGAAAAATTACATTCAATATATTAAATCGTTATTGAATCATTAGTTATTATTTTTTTTGTTAGTAAAATATTTTGTTAAAGTGTAAGTTGTGTTAAATCGTGAGGTTTATTCGTTAATTAGTGGTTAAATATGTACAAATAAATACTCACCACACTTGCTCCACGTCCACTCTGACTAGCGATTCCTGACTGCGGTTGTGGAGTATTTGGTAATGGATTTTGTGCTAACAATGGTCTATCAGCAGCCGTCTATTTTAATAAATTTTTTTATTTTTATTAAAAAGTATATTAATATTATTTATTATAAAATATTCAATGAATGTAAAAATAGATTACCTGAATGACTAAGAAACTAGTAGGCTGAATAGGCTCTGGTTCGACAGATCTATTTAAATTAATAATATCGAATTCACATTCATCTTCAAGCCACGACGGAAGTTCTAGTAATAAGGATATATCCATTTCTTGGACTTCTCGAGGCGTAGCTAGAGCCATTAATCCAGGATTTACCTAGAAAAAATTTTAAATGTATCAATTTTAAATTGCAATCATATTTTTTTGTAGAATAATTTTTTTTATAATCTCTTGAAGAAATAAAATAAAACATTTTAGATTAGAATAACTTATTTAAAATAATATACTGTTAGTAAAATCAGTTTTTTAAATGAAAAATTTACATTGATGTTTTTTTTTAGTTTAATCTATATAATTAAGAGAATTTTTTTTTTATTAAACAACTTTTGTTAAATTGCATTGCACTTTCTTAAATATTGATGTTTTTGAATATATAAGCTCATCCCGATGTTACACTCATCAAGAGCTTTAATTTGAGTACCCACATGCATTTTAATATATTTTTTATATATTCATATATATAAATATATAAAATATATAAAAAATTGATGTGGGTACTCAAATGAAAGGTCTCGATGAGTGTAACATCGGGATGAGCTTATATCTTTCAAAATGTCAATATTTCACAAGATAAAAAGTTATATCTCAATCATGAACCTAGAGATAGAGCATTTTTGAATGCATCCTAAATACTTATCATAATAAATTGATTATATCGATGAGAATAAAAAGAAACCTTGAAAAGGCACAAATTCAAATTAAAAAATTAAATAATAAAAACAATATACATAATTTACCTGATTGAGGCAAAAGGCACTGATACTATCTTGTTCCTTGTGAATAATCCTAACAGGCTCAGGAAGACTTGTCGTACCGCTATCGCTTCCTTTATCTTCGCTACCACTACGGGTAGCGCTGTCAACAGCCGACTGTGAATTTTCCATCATCACCGATAACGAGCGATGTTTACCAAACACCGCTCGAATAAAAATGTCCTGAACAGACTCCTGTCTTACTAAATAACGCCACAAGCGATTAACAGGCGCAGCGCTAGCAAGCCGAGTATTAAAAGGTGTATTTTCTTTCTCCAGCAGAGCGCGATATTTATGAATAGCCGGTTTACCCGGTGAAGGATTAGGATCTGGCGTACATCCAAGAATATAATTACTCGGTGGCGGCCCTTTGGCCTCCAATTCATCTCTCAACGAATCTTCCCACTGCGCAACAACGCCCAGAATGGCATGTATCAGCGGACTGCTTACCGGCAGTTCTTGCAACTCAATACCAGCGACATTTAAAAAGTTCTGAAGCTGCTGCTCAAGTATCTTAACAATAGCCAATCTCATGACACACCAGCTGTACCCATTTGAGTTCAGATGCTCAGTATTGTCCTTTGGTTTACTCTTTGGTTTAGCATTAGTATCAAAGACATCTTCCTCCTCGTCCGACGTACCTAAATCCGAAACTGCTGAATCCGAAGAATCGTAGTCTATTTCATCAGCATACTCACTTTCAATTCTTGGTTTCATTAGAAAATACGACACCATACTCATCTGAGGGGAGACAAATTGCTCCCGATACGTCGGTTTGTCTTCTTTAATATTAGGAGTTTGTCCCGTAAATTGTCCAAGTAATTTCATGTTTAATTTAACACGTTGCTTGGTCAATGACGTCATTGTGCTCCAAACACCACCAGCAGCAGCTTGAATTTCTCCGGAAATACTATCGGCGCGTTCGACGACACTCGACGCACTGTCATTGCGATTTGTACTGGCAATACGTACCAATTTTTTGACACCACCACCAAACAAACATGACCATGTATTATTGTCAAAGTGATGTCCTACAAGACGAAAGAGCAAATGACTGTCACAGCTCGCAAGAGCGTAGACAAATAAACTCATGTATGTTGACACAAAAGCTTCACACAAAAGAATATTTAATTTCGGCGTATCTTCGTCCTTTTCACGTGCCAAAAGTGCTCGGAGATTCGTCACTCCAGGCCACTTAGACGGAGGTGTTGTTATTGTCACCGTTTCATCCAGTGAATAGCGACGCGTAACTTTATTTGACGCTACTAAATGACCACCAGAGAACGATTCAATCTCAGCGATAGCTGGGAATATTTCTGGCTGCTGATTTTTAGTCGTATCGGAGTCACACAGTGATTGATAGATGCAGGAACTCAATGCGACAGTCAAATCACGAAGTGTGAAGATTTCATAGCAAGTACCGTTGTTGCTCAAAGTCGGAGGATTCCGTAGTTCAATTAATGTTTGCAGCATGTCATGAGCAAGAGCCTGAAGATGTCTTACTGGGTCGGCTACAACAGTCTTATTACAGGCGACGCTTGCACTCAAAAGCGGCAAAGTCGTTGGGAAAGGTAAAGGACTCAGTAATTGTTGTTGGGTTTTTTCTTGCTGCAATTCCTGAAGCAGCAAAACTAATTCCATTCTCACAGATGCCAATCCACCACCCGATGCACCGTGAAGAGAACAATACGACAGCATGGTTCGCAATAATGTTTCATTAGCTTTCAACCACTTTTTTCTCCTAGCTGCTCTCTGAACTTTAGCTTCAAAGTCTAATTTTTCGGATAACAAAATTTCATGTAACGTCATTTGTTCACCAGGTTTGTAGGGACCAATGTCTTCATTGTCATACTCAGTAATGTTAGAAACATCTCCGTCAGTATTTACACTGTAATTACAAAGCTGTTTCAGCGCATCGACTTCCCTTTCTAACCAAATATACAATTGATAACGCAATTGTCCGCCATCAACTTCAAATCCCGTAGCAAGGGTTGATAGTTCTTCCATTAAAATTTTTAAACAAGCTACGAATTTTAATTGCTGCGCCATTATATCCAGCTGCCCTACAGGTTTCGGAGACTCAGTTCTTTTTTCTTCTTTCGGCTGCTCAGTCTTCTTCTCAGTATCCATGCTCAAAGGCGGGCTCTCCGCATCTTCACCAGGTTCATCGTCATCCCACTTGAGTTCAAGTTCCTCTGGCTCTTTGATAACTGGCTGAGACCAGTCCATGGCCGAGCTGCCCCAATCCATGGCAGAACTTGAGTCTGAATTTTCAACTTTCTTGGGCGTATCCCAGTTCATCATACCGGTATCTATCAACGAATCATTCGCTTGAGATTTGCTGGGACTATTCAAAATACTGGGAGTATCTTCACCGTTGGGTTCCATAACTTTGTTAGGCAACTTAGACAAAACCTCGAGCGCCAATGCAGGACAGCCTGCCTTAAAATGAGCGTGAGCTGTCGTAAAATACAATTGTCTTTCCAGGGGAGTAATACTGTCCTCCAGAGTAAGTTGTTTGTCCGGTTGACCTTTAGATTCCATCCCGTAGCTAAATCCTGACAATACCACGGAGGTTACTTTCTTTTTATCTTGTGCAGTAGAAGCAATGTATTGTCTAATTAACAACGGATGTGTTCGAAGGTACACGTAGAAATTAAAGACATTTGGATTAGCAGTCGCGCCTTCAGGTTTTTCAGACTCGTCGTTGTACTGTGCGTGCTGCGTTCCTACATTAGTCAACAGAAGTGTATTCAATGATCCCGAGTAGTCTTTCAGCATCCACAGAGCCATGCTCCTCAAAAATGGATCCGGATGCACACGAGTTAGATCAGTGACTGTTTTATTTTCCTCGCAGCCTAGAATTTCTTCATACAGCAGCCGTTTGAAGTTCGGAGAAGCTATATCGTCTTCGTAAAGCCTCGAGATTACCATTGCCAGCTGTATGTCGTTCAACTTAGTCAAACAAACTTCAACAGCGTCGCGCAGAGACCCTGCAAGTAAAAAGAACGCAGCTGCGTGATCAAACCTCTGCTTGCCTAACAATGCGTAGGCATTTTTCAAAGCAGCTTTTCGCCAACGATCTTCTTTAAAATCATTAGAGAAGAAATTAGTCATACGGTCATCACGTTTATTCCTGAACAAGCCCCATACCAAGTTCTTCTTTTTCATAGCTAAGTAATAAATCGCCGCATCCAGTGGATCTTGATGCTGTTGAAACGCGGACTTGGCAATCTTTTCTATGCAAGTTTTAAGAACTGCATTGCTTCGAATCCACCAGCCAACACCTAGTTCTTTCAAAACCGACCACTTAGGCTGGCCTTTGGCGTACGAAGGAATCAAACCCAGCATTTCTTCTTCCGTTTCTGAGTGAAACGCCCAGACTAAATTATTCGTTGAGACTCCTTGCTTCTGAAATTGTGCTCGCTGTGACAAAGGAAGGCAACGAATAAGATAGTTATAATGCTTCATAGCTAAAAGGAACCTCAGACCACAATCATCCAGAGAATTGGTGGAAACACTCGTGCCGTCTGGAGTACCAGTAAGATTTTCTTTCGCTATCGCAGTCTTTGCCGCATCAATAGCGAAACGCTCCGCGAAATCAACGTCACAAGTAGACACAGTGTCAGCGAGGGCGAGTAAATGCATCTGATCTAAGCTAGACAGCCCCGGGAGATGCGAGTGCGTCAACATTTGTGACAACTGGCGACCTTCACGCGGTCCAAAGTGAGCACCACTCTGTTTGTCGGGGATAGATGACCTACGATCCATCTGCCTTGAACTGTCGTAACTCTCTTCTAACATCGCGTCCAACGACTCTTCTTCGTCTATATGGCCGTCGAACAATTCATTGTAATCCTGCTTATCATCATCCTGTGTCTGCGTAGCACAAGACTCTTTATCGGCTTTTAAAAGTCGCCAAAGTGGTAGCGGAGTTATGAAAACTATTTCTGCATAGTCGAGGAAAAATTCTTCTGGAATTTGGGTGGTAGATCCTCGTTGTTCCATCGGAGAACTAGTTCCGGTGTAATTTACAGACATGGTGCGAGTACGCGTCCAACCACTGCGCTGCTTTGAATTATTTTCATCGTCTTGTTTAGCACCGCAAGTTGTAGCGATGCATTTGACTAGATGTGCAAGAATGGCTTTTACCCACCGAATTTTACCACAGTGCAGCAGTTCCATCAACTGCTTCGGGTGATACTGGGGCAAAACTGGACACGCTATACGCGAAGCTTCAAATAATCCGTAGTCAGGCATGTAATCAATTGTCACAGTGTCACTTTGTAATCCACGTCTTCGTTTAATATCCAGCATCGTCAAATTAATACTACTAACGCGTGACAAATGGGGTATTGATGAGACATTGGCCAGTCTTCTTTGCGATGTTTCTTGTGCAAGAGTTCTTAGATCTTCGTCGCGTAAATTTCTTGAAGCTTGAAACTCATCAGACTCCTGGTGCTGCAGAGTCGAGTGCAGACACTCACTTTTTGGGTTGGGTTTCCACTGTGAGTACACGTGCATTTCAGAATCCATTCCCACGACTAAAATACCGTCTCTTACCCAGGAAATTTGCATAGGCAGTGGCGGCAATCCGTCAGCAGTAGTTAACTTTATTTTTCTCAGCTTCATCCAACGAATCTCGTCAACGAATTGAGGTTGTGCTAGCGAGGAAGTTTTACGTAAAATCGGACGATTGTTATTTTTTGATTCCTTCATGGCTTTCATATTCGCTTGTGCAAGATCGGAGCATACTGGAGTAAAAAGCATTATTTTAGAGCCAACACCTACTGTTAAAATATGTGACCCGTCTTCTTTAGATACCCAGTCAAGTTGTACCAAATGTTTTTGAGTCAACGGACAAGTGTTGCCATTTTCAATAATTGATTTTCTCAAAGATTGAAGAGTACTGAATGATGGAACTGCCAACAATCCAGCAGTAGTTTTAGCTTCACTGTTATCACCATTTCTCGGTGAACGTATATCTTCATGACTAAGCGTCTGCAGGACTTGAGTAAGCCGCTGTTTCTTTTGCAAAAATCTACTGTCGTACAAATAACTCAAGTCTAAATGTTGATCGACTTGCATTCGGGGCAAATGGATATTTTTCAGGTGAATTGTATCCTCAAGAATCCATTCACTGCCTCCCGTACTTTCACATTCATAAATAGCGACACATAAATTAACATAACGCGAATCAGGATCAGCTTTGGTTGGCCTAGTGAATGATTTTCCGTACTTGTAAGCACAAGCAATACGACCACTGTAAGCAGCACTGACATTCAAAGGCGTTCCTGAAATATCAATCACTGACTCTTGATCTTTTCTGAACATTTCCCATTCCCGCCACTCGTATGACAACTGATCATCTTCACTTTTAGAAACTTTACACTTCCAAAAGCGTACGGTACTGTCATTACACGCGGTGACAATTATATAAGGAGCAAAGCAAGCAGGATAAATTGAAGAGCTGCTGAGATGTCCAGCAGCAGGTGAAGCGTGGACTACTTCAACGCCATCAGGAAGTGGCAGGTCTTGGGTGCAAACTTTGGTTGTCGTTATAAGAACGTGACTATTGTGATGATGGTGATGATGATGATGAGCATACGACGAGTCATAATCAGCTTGACTAGATCGTCTGCTTCTACCACCGGTGGTTTGACTTTGTCGACGCGATCTTCTGCCTTCAGAATGCCGTCCAGGAGTTCCTTCTTCATCTTCATCTTGAACTAGATGCGAGTCCGGGACGTACATCATTGAACCGGTGAGTCCGTTAGTTTCAGGCTGCGAAGCTATGACTATCCGCCACATGTGTACAGTAGTTCCTTTGGTAGTTCTCTCGAGAACTACAATGTAAAAAGGCTCCTCGAAGATCGCAGATTGTTGGAGATCGACCATTGCGTCAAGAGTCGACTCCATCAGACCTAGATCATTGGCAGAGGGGTCCACTCCCGGTTGCTTCTCATCATTGCGTTCTCCAGTGATGAGCTGTTCTTGAAATACGTGAAGAAATTGTGTATTTTGCCAGTCGTGTGTCGCGTCGGAAATCGCATCCAGCTGAATAATGCAACCTGGTCTTGCAGTTGATTGTTGTGAAACTATCTTTATTCTATCATGAATAGAATTTCTGATGCCATCGTCTGAAGAGATGTCTGTTGACAGACTTGCCATCGAGTCCATCATACGGCTTTTTCTCTCGCTTATTGACACCTCGGCTAGAAGCGTCCGTGCGTCGATTACAGCCTGGTAGACTCTTAAGCATTGACCGTCACTTGCCACAAAGCAAGCACTCGCAGAGTTTGAAAGATTTCCTAAGGTGGTGCTGGGCAATAATGTAGGAATCCACGCGACGTTACTGAACGCTGATATTTCCAAGGAATTAATACGCGCTAATTCAGATACTCCGCCGCTTTTAGACAACGGGCCTACTGGATCCACACGCCAGAGAATTAATTCACTGCAAAAACCAGTAGCTGATAGTAATTCATTAGTTGGAGATTGATTACGTGTTTCTGGGGTCTCAGTATTTACATTTTCTGGGTTTGGTGGATTAAATTCGGGAATATTGTGGTGTGATGTGGTTACTAACAGAGGCAAAACTGGATGACAAGTGATATCATTGACACGAAATCGATGACCTGAGGCACGACAAGCGTGTCCAATACTTAATACTTGGGAAAATTTAGTTTTATCACCAAAAGTCAATTGCCAAAGATTCAAAGTTCCGTTAGAGTGTTTCGAAACCATTGATACCATGGGACTTGGATGTTTCAATAAATCATTAACTGCATCTTGATTTTGTTTGTTAGCTTCTGCAGCGGCATTTTCTTCCGCAGCAGTTGTCGTGTTATCTTTAGAAGTTACAAATGTTTGAACATTTTGCAACAATTCTTGTCCAGCTTTAGAAGTTAACGTCGACTGTTCTTCGTCCTGTTCAATAAGACTAGGTAGTGGTGTGGCAATTTCTTGATGATCCAGCGGCTTAGACACTGATTTAGCGACCTCTCGTATACTCAACAACGGTCCACCAGTGTTGTGTGAGTACATAGACACGTTGTGGCTCATAGTCGAAGCATCTCCGAGAGGAAACGCATTGGGTATACGTGTAGAAAACGATATTTGAGCTTGTCTAAATGATCCAGGATGATACTCGTCCAGCCACTCGATGTGCCAGATCAAAAAACTACCGTCAATTGGATGGATCGAGAATAAAAGATCAGGATTGTGGTGCCAGTCGCGTAGTAATGTTTCTATTTTAGTATCCAGTGAGTCTGGCGTGTGATTCATTGTTGATGTGGCGTCTGTTGCTATCGAATTTATCGAGGTAGTATTGCTGAAATTATTATTAGTATTTTATTTATCAATTCAATGATAAGTGCTAAATGATTTAATGAAGGTTATTTTTACCTAAGACTTTGATGAGAGTGTCCACTGTACGGTAAACTGTGATGTGAGGATCCAGTGTGTGCAGTATGATGTTCATCGCTACTATGCTCGTCTTGACTAGTTGTTCGACCACCAACTCCTGACTTGACATTTGACTGGTGTTTCGGAGCTTTCTCTAAAGAATGTGCCAAACCGTAACATGATAAGATGCTGCCTGTGATAAATAATACTCTAGCAAACGACATGCAACATGCAAGTACTTGCGCTTATAATTAAATAATCTACTATGTCAATAATTATAATTATAATTTAAGGAACCCTTTTAATAGCTCTGCTATTGGGTTAAGTTTTCGTTATAAAATAAATAAATAAATAAATAAATAAAATAAAATAAGCTGATAAATGTAATTAGAAAAAAAAATCATCATAAACTTTAGTTTTAAATTAATTTCCAATAAATAAGTCTATTAAAAAAATAATTAATATAAAAAGCACGCAAAATCAATAATAAAAATTTCAATAGCTATATTATTATTATCATAATAAAAATAAAACTCACTTGGTGTATGTTCATCCTCAGAATCATGCTCAGTATGATCTGCTTCATGATTTCGTAGGCCTTCTTCTTTCTCTACTACCTTTCGCGTGAGTTCCTGCGTATAAAATAAATAATTAATTTCAAATCCCATTTGCCCTCAGGTAAGGTACTGAATAATTAAAACCATCGTTTTATTACCTGGAGAATTCCTTCCGCTTGCATAGTAAAATACATTTCTTTATTATTCAACCAGTGCAATATAAAATTAGGTTCTCTGTCTGGATCTCCAGTTATTAAACTTGGTACCAGTGGTATGTCTGCAATAAAAAAAATATTGACTGTTACGTATTGATCACTGCTCGCTTGGTCTTACAAATAAAACACGAGCTATCGATTAATATTGGATAATATTTATTCAAGCTCAGTGAATATTTTAACATCCAACGTACCAGTTTCAGCATTGATACTAGCTGCCAAATGAAAGTGCATTCCAGGATAGTGACCGAAGCCTTGATAATTATTGTGGAAATCATGAACGGAGTAAGTTGAAGGTAACGTAGGTAGTGTCGGAGCCGAATGACCGGCTTGATGTTGCTGCTGTTTAGCATGACGTCTTATGTGAAAGCATGTTCTAAAAATTACAATCATTAACATAAATTTTTAATCCTGAAAAAAGTCTTTTGGGTATATTATAATATAATGAATAGTCAAAATTACTTCATGTGTTTAAGACGCTGCATAAATCGATGCTTGTGCATACTGTGATGACGATGTTTACCATGATGCCCATGTCTATCAGAGCCTTCAAACTGACTCATATTAGCTAGACCCTCGATCTCTGGCGGTATTGTTTCGGCCCAAACTCGACATATGTTGTCGCGGCATGATGTCACGAGCATGTTGGATACAGAGCCTCTTTTTATTGTAACAGATCATATGATTAAATTATTATTATTAATAAAATTTTAAAACTAATAATAGTAATAATAAGTTTTGAAATTATTATTATTATTATTATTATTATTATTGCTATTGTATTGTATATGAAACAGTTTGTTTGTTATAAAGTGGGAGTAGGTGTAAATACAGTTCGGTAGTATAGATAATCTTATTACGATAACAATTGCTTACTTTGGCATATATTTACTAGTCTTCCGCCACGATAAGTGTGTCACCGCGCGTGGATGTGCTATGTAAACGAAGCTATAGCTGTCATGTAACAATGACTGACAGTAACTCAATTGATCCATACTTCTCATAGGGAAAACTAAAATAATTAATATTTTATTAGTTTAATATTAATATTTTTTATCATCATGATTACAAAATTTGACATTATTATTGAATAATACTTACGTTGTTTATTTTCAAACCATATTTTAACTAATTTATCATTACGCCCAGTTGTAGCAAACAAAGTACCATCCGGACTGAAGCTCATCAGATGGACTGGAGTTGCTGTTCGGCATTTCCAGACGCAGTTCCATGCTCCTGGATCATTAGCTGCCGCTGAGTCACCTGGTCCAGGACTCTCAGCTTCTCCACCAATAGAAAATGTCACTCCATCGGCTAAATAAAATTATTTATTATTAATCAGAAAAAAATATGGTTCTCGTTTATTATAACATTCTTTGTAATGGTGCACACTTATAATAAATTAATTGATATTTAAAATTGTTCAAATATACATAATTAATTAATAAATGCTCTAATTAATAAATCATAAAAAAAAAAAAATTGTGCAGGTTATTAAAGGCCATGACATTCATCTTTTCTTTTGGAAAAACAATTTGCTAGAAGCTAATAAAAAAATCATAATTATACACATATGATTTTTAAGTGGAGCATTAAAATAAAAATGAGCTTGTGTCCTTTGATCTCGTGTTCCAACAAAGCATCTTAAAATTTTTTTTAATGTAAATAAATAAAAAATTGGTTAAATAAAATAAAAATAATCATGCATAAAATTCATAACGTCCATTCTCAATAAAGAATGAACTCACGATCTTGAGATGAATTTCCTGTAACATTTTGTTCAACTGCTTTCGGGGGTTCTTCTGTTTGTGTTTTTGGTTTTGCTGCAGTAATTATTTAAATAAATTCAATATCAATTAAATAATGTTTAAATTCTTGATATGTATTTTTTACGAGTTATAATAATGACACTGTTAGCAGACGTCTAAAAATTTTGGATTTTTTTTATTAATTAAATTACAACTAAAAAAATATTTCTAAAAAATTGCACTTGTAGTTTTTCAAGTTTTTTAGATGTGCAATTTTATTTTTTAATTGTTTAATTAAAATTTTATCAATAAAAAATTTCTAAAAATTTTGAAATGTCGACTAACTTTATTTTCTTATTATATTAATAAAAATTAAGTATATAAATAATTTACTTTGCTCTTCCTGAAACGGCTGAATATTTTGGTGCCATAGTTGTAAAAGCTCGCCGCCGGTTAATAAACGAGTGCCTTCTAAATTCCATGATAATGATGTGATAGTGGAATCTGTTAATAATGTTCCAGTTTGAACCCATCTGTACTCCAATTCCTATAATTATTTAATTTATAAATATTGATGATCGAATTTAATTATTAATGAATTAATTAATTTATTTATTTATTAATAAATACTAACGTGAGAACAAGAACTGTGAATAAGTGGAGTTGGTTCAAAAATACAAATTTGGTTCTCATAAGCAGCTGCAATTTTTCCAGTATCTGTGCTACAATCGAGACAACTTATTCTAATATAATTATGAACAGCTCCCGGTATTATTTGAACTCTTTCAAAATTACTAGCAAGAATTACAATATTGCACCCGGCTGCATATGCCTGTAACAAAAATTATAAATAATAGAGTTTTAAAAAGAGCGCAGTCATGAAAAAAATCACTGTTACCTACAAAAATAAAAATCAAACATAAAAAAATATTTTGACAGTTAAGATCAACGTTGATGGTAAAATACAGTCTACATTAAGTATGATCAACAGTGTTATGTAATGAAATATGATATATGTATTCAGTGTTGTGAATTTAAGGTGTTATCTGGAATATTAAACATCTTTTATTTACAACTAGATAAAATGAAATAAAATAATAAAATTGCCCGTTGTTGAAACCAAGTAATTACAGATAATTTGCTTTTTCATTATAATCTACTTAAATATCACATTTTTTATCAATAATTATTATCAGAGGATAATTAAATAATTAATTAATAATAATTTGAATAAATTACATTAAATTATTGGTTCAAAAAAAATAAATTAGTTGTTTTATATAAATAATAATTTTTTTTATTACTATCACGATATTCAAGTGCTTGCACTTGGAAAATTTATAGTAATAATAAAAATTAATGATAGAGTGAAATAAAATGATTTTATTGACACATTAAAGTGTAACAGTAAGCGTAGCACGTAGATATATATAGAAATAGTTTTGTCAGGTGTGTTGTGATAGTATTAAGCAAAAGTGTCATTTAATCAGCTGACTTTAAATTCAATTGCACTTATCCCAGCTGATTAAATCTATGATTTGAAATAACAATAATAATAAATTAAATAGAGCCTTTGACAATTGATTCAATAAATAATAATGATAATGATTATCTAGATGGTGTTGGATTTAAAAAGTAATGTGTTGATATCAGCTGTAATTATTAAAAGAAGACTATTAATAATTAAGTATTAATATTTTAATAAATAATTATAACAATGAACTTACGGTAAAAGATATTCCCTCGACAGAACCGACAGCATAACAGCGGTCGCCTGCATTGCAGGCTCCACTCAATATCTGATGGCGATTCATATTTATTATTGTATACCTAGTTTTTATTTAGTTCATATTTGTCGTTGTTACTTATTGTTTAAGATATGGCTGAGTGATTGGTGTATCGTGTGTGTCAGATGATTCGATGGGTTAAAGCAAGCTGGTGATGGTGATATCTGGTTAATACACACTACACAAACTCAACACCCTCAAGGACTTGGACTAGTTGAAATCATTGACGTGACACACGGTGTGATGATCCACCAGTGAGACAGCGGCCATCTTTAAATGGACCTTTTAGTTTATCAGTGTTGCCACACTTTTAGTAAGTGTTTTTAATGTGTGAGTGATAACAGTCAATATGTCCGTGATACTCACACATGTAACTGCGCAGTAAGGTAGGGAGAAATTATGATCAAGTAGCCGCACATTCGGCATATGTACTCTAACGCCCACACTGTAAAGTTAGCGCCACTTGTTCTTATTTTTTGCTTTTTTTTTTTTTTTTTTTTGGAGCTGAAATTTAAAATAAACATTTTTTTTTATTTTTGTGAGTTTGAAAAATATTGCAGGAAACAAAAATTTTTCTTTCAGATTTTTAAGATTTAATAAATTTATAAGTCTTGTCATTTGCAGACGAATAATCTGAAATTTTAATTCTGGGGTACAGTATCAGTGAATAATAAAATAATAAGTTTGCGGACTTGGTAAGGTGGCGCTACGTTATAAATTGTATATACAGTTGAATGAAAAAAAGATGATTCTAAAATTGAAAGATTGAGATTATTAATTTAGCAGATTCTTGATAATTTTTGTATGAAAATAAAGTTTTCTAAAGACATCCAAAGAATTTTATGATTTTTTTTTATTAAAGAATTATAACAAAAAAAATTTTTCACTTGATGAAAACTTCAAAAACTCTAACTGAAATTTTTTAAAAATATTTTTTAGTTATAATTTAATTAATTAAGCAAAATAAAAAAATAAAAAATGTCGGCTTACTTTATTGTTATAATTTTTGTAACAAATAAATTATGATAAAGAAAAATTGACTAAAAATTTGAAAAAATTAAAAATGCAATTTTTTAAAAATAATTTTTTGGAACAAATTAGTTTGTTAAATAAAATAAAAAAATTGTCAAGTGACAGCTAAATTGAATGTCATAAGATTGAGAGACATCTAATAATTTTTATAATCATTTAAACATACAAATTATAACAAGAAAAATTTATTTAAAAAATTCTATCTTTAGAGGCTCTAAAAAATTATAAATGCAAATTTTTACAAATAATTTTCTAGACCTAATTTAAAGAAAAATAAAAAAAATTATCAAGTGTCTGATTTCAGTGTCATCAAAATAAGTTCAGTATTTTACTAAATTAATATTGCTCAAATAATAAGCTGTTATTGCACGTATAATTTTTCAAAGTTTCTACATGTGAAATTTTTTCTTTTAATTTTATTGTAACAATTTTTTCAATACAAATAATTATAATAATTTTCAGATGTCGGCTAATTAAATTTTCATAATAATTTACTAAAAAATTCTTTCAAAAAGTAATTAAATAAAATAAAATTTCTAAATAAATTTACAATAGCCTACTCCGAATGTTTCTATACTCTGCACATGTTTTCTGGATTTTATGGTGACCCCCGTCAATCGCTTTACGCAGTGTATACGCAGTCTCCAATCCCTACTACGTACACGATGGCGCAGAAAAATACTACTATAGCGTAGAATGAATGTATATTTATGTGTATATACGTAATGAACCTTAATCAAGTGAACGTCAACGTCCAGTAGTTGGTGAAAGCCCAGAAACTCCACAAAAATGATCTAAAGTAAGTAAAAATTCCATGATTCTAAAATCAATAGACATTTATCAAGTTTTAAGATTTTTATCATTATTAAATTATTATAAAAAAATTCCACATGTGGAAATTAAAAAAAAAAAAAAAAAAAAAAAAACAAAAGTACAAATTTAAAAAAATATTTCTTTATCACAATTGATTTGTTATAAAAATTATCAGATGTCTGCTGATTTAAACCATAAAAACTTTCTACTTTTATTAAATTAACTAAAGTTAATCCATTGAAATTTTTTAGTTCAGGTTAAGCCAAAGAACTTACCCGCGGAGATAAATAAAAAGTTAAGATTATGAAAGTGCGTACTGTTCCTTACAACCAGAAACATCAATCATCTTACAATCCTTCAACGAGTATAAAAAACCAAAAAATGCGAAAGTATTATCAGGCAGCTCTAGCTCTTACGGCAGCAGTCAGTCTGGTAGCTCTGCTATTTTACAGGCACGAGTACAACAAACTGCGCTTCGTGCTCCAGGTGTTCAATTACTTTGGTACACCGCAGAAAAACTCCCTCAACTGCACCAACAATATACAAGTGACAAATACCTATCACCAGGCTGCTTCTACCTCCTGGCAGCGCCTTTCCGAGGACTTTTACATCTACTCCGCCTACAGCTACGATGAGGGAGAAATAAAGGCTATTGGGTTCGGCAAGCACTCTAGCAGTAACAATTATTACTGTCGAGTTTTGTTCGACGACCAACTGGAGTATGTACAAGGTAAATTTTTAGTCCAGAAGATTGATGAAAACCGTCAGGATTTAAACAATGACGATTTAATTAACAACGACGACGATCAGGAGTACAGTGGGTACTTGTTCACGTGTAAGTACGAAAAATTGCCCGACAAAGATGTCGTGGGGATGCAGGTAGTTGATGATAAGCTCAAAAATTATGACAGTATTCCAATAATTCAAGTCCAGACGCTTTATAATAATTTTAATAGCAACAAAACAGGCACGATAATCTGCGTAGCTCCACCTGAATCAAAACCGCTTAAGCATATTGATATGATAAGCTTCCTGGCCTTCCACGATTACGTCGGGTGGGACAATTTCATTGTTTATGACTACGGAATTCCGTTTGTCTTCAACGAAGCCGTGAGGAAGATGTCCTTATTCTCAAATGTCCAATGGAATTTCACCTACTCGGCGGTTCCTTGGAACTTTCCATACGCACAAATCTCCAGGAGAGTTATCAGGAACTTGATTGAAGCTGACTGCCTGTATCGCACATTCTCACGCGCTTCTTTCGCGGTTACTCTGGCTTGGGATGAATATGTAAATCTTAAGTACCACACTTCTGTTGAGCATGTACTCTCGGATTTAAATAAAGTTAATGGAAAGATAGACGATAAATTCAGGCTCAACGCTGTGGTTTTTTGCACCGACTACGCAGACAGCGATTCTGTTAACTCACCGACCCCTGTGATATTGAGGACCACTCGCAGATTAAGAAATGTTGATAAAGATGAACCGTTATTTATTTATAAGCGCGACCATATTTCTAGTAATGATATTACTCAACAAGAAATGGATGAACTGATGATTATTAATCGGTATAAAAAATGCAATACTAATGACAGAAGACAAATTGTTAATGGTGTATTAAGATTCGCTGAGTCTATGCCGAGTACACAAATTTTTCAGTATTATATTACTGGTAGATTGTTCAGCCATAATTGAATTACCTAATTGATTAATTAATCAATTGGTAATTATTTACAAATGGGGTCAACTTTATTTAGGGCCATAACTAGGTGAAAAATTAAGATTTTTTTGTAGATTTCATAAAAATCTAGATATTGTATTTGTCCTCATGACGTAAATTTTAATAAATTTTGCTATATTTCAACTTAACTCGACGAGCTGAGTCAGAAAATACATATTTAAAAGTTTATATATACAATATGACGCAGCTTGTCACGACGACAGCGTCAAGAATTTTTAAGGGATCTCAATGAAACTCAATATACTTATTCTATAGGCTATTACGAAGGTCGAGTTCAAATATGAGCTTAATCGGACAATTAGTTTAGAAATTATAGTATTTTAAAATTTTGAAAATTTCATACTTTCACTTCTTCAAATAACTTTTGAACGCGTCGAGATATTCGATTTTTGTAAAATCCACCTGAAAGCTGAGAAATTAAGCTTCAATTTATTTGCTTACGTGTTTTTCTAAAGCAGAAAATATCCATCTTATGATCATTTTTAAGAATTTTTACTCCTGGAGTACTTGCAGTACTTTTGTCTATACAAAACAGACTAAAAAGTACTGAAGTACAATAATTTTTTTTCTTCCTTTATTGAACGTTGTTTACCTATGAAATTTGCTGTTGCTCTGTTTTTTTTTTTTTGTTTTTGTATACAATCCGGGTAGTTTTTTTTTATTTATTATGAAATTTTCCATTTCGGCTGCCGAATGACCTTTTAAATTTTTTTTTTATTCGGCTTGTTTTTACGGCCCATTTATAATAAAAAATGTCGTGAAAAAAAAAATAAAAATTTCGATAAGTTTTTTGTCTTTGAAAGTTTGAAAAAAAATTGACTCGTGTTTTTGGATAAAACTTCTATTTTTTTTTTTTTTTTTTAAGTACATAAAAAACAAACAAAAAAAATGATTAATTTGATCAAAAAAAAAAAAACATGGCCTAGTATGGGTTGACCCCACTTGTAGATAATTACCAACCAATTGACAAGTTAGATAGTTAACTATTAATTAAATGAAACTCCAGCTTCGTGATAATGCACAAAAAACATTTTTAGTACAAGTAAGCACAATACGCGGTATGATATAATAGGATATTTAAATTAATAAAATAAATTAATTGTAAGATTTTTTGTATGCTTGAATTATTATTAAACTATTGTTGAAATTACAGACTTTGATTTAATCAAATTGCTTTTTTTTTTGGCAAAAAGTGAAAAGATAATTGAAAAAAAAAAATTAATAAGTAAGCAAGTATATAAAGTGGATAAATTGTCTACTTCAGACGCTGCATTATTGCTGAATTTTTAAGACCAGCTTCTTCGATAGTCTTGGCGTCTTCAGTCAGTTCTTTAGTAGGGTAAGCGGTGGATAGAGTAAAGTCCTGAGCTGCGTACTGAGGTCGCATCGTTGTGATGAAACGTCTGATGTCACCGACAGTGTGAGTCAGATTAAACTGCTCGCGGATATTTTGACCATCGGCTAACCTTATCTGTATTGTGGTTACTGGGTTGTTTGAATCTACGTTGAGTTGCGAACGGGCGAGAGATTCATTGGCCGATTGGTCTGATGGATCTGTTGGCATTGTCATACCCACAGTCGCTGGTGATGGGCTAAAATTTAAAATTGTTATCAGTATTTATGTAATTGACTTGGACAAAAAACTAATAACCTTCCCAGCATGTGTCCACGTCCCGCAAATGCTTTAACTTTTGGCTTCTGGGGCACATACTCCTCATGATGATGATCTTCAAGATCAAGACGCACTTCGTTACCTAGAACTTCCTGACGCAGCTCCATCGGGACTTCCCCGCGCTTTATAGTTTCCATAAACTCACGATTCTGAGGATCGCTGTAGGAACGCAACTCGCCGTCATTTATTGTAAATCCTTCTCGCCAAAGCTTAAGCGTAATGACTCCAGCGTCTGGTGATCGTTGGGAAGAAGCACCAGGAATAACTGTATAGAAAATAGTACTTTTTTACAATCCTCAATCTTAAGGGATCATTCTCTTGTATGTAACTTTTGAAAAAATTAATTTTTTTTTTTTTACAATTTTCATAAGTACACAGAAAAAAAGTACTTGAATCAAATAAATAATTTTGAAGAACTTAATCTTCTTGATTTGAGTAGAATTCTCAAACTAAGAAATTTTTCGTGGTTTAAGTAAATTTTACTTGATTCAAGACAATGAAACTCTTCAAAATTATTTTCTTGATTCAAGAATTTTTCTCTTGGTTCAAGTTAATTTTTTTTCAGTGTACAGATATCTAAAAGTATTGGGTCAAAATTTCCAAGTTATCAGACCACTGTAACTATATTATATTTTAATGTTTATGTGAATGTTCAAGTGGAAGAAAATCTAATTTTTAAACAGGCTGAAGGGATTTTGTATTGTACTGGTATCGCTGAATAACTTTAGGTAAGATTTTTTTTTATTTCATTAAATAAACTTTAAACTCGTTTATCTCAGAAGTATGTTTTTTTGATTGACGTACATGATATCTCCGGAAACACTGATCTAATCTTAATGAAATTTAAACCACATATTTTACATAGTAGTAGCTGTCGCATGAACTACAACCAAATCAAAATTTTGATTTGTAACTATTTTTTTAGGATTAAAAACTGTAAAAAAAGGCTCATTTTTCTGTTTCTTTCTTTTTTAATCCCCACCATTTTGTTATTTATCAATAAATGTTAATCTCCGTATCTGATACAATAGTTACTTAAATATTGAAGGTAAATAATTTTGATTTATGTGTTTTAGATGAACTGGTATCAAGTTATCATGTACGTCAACGACATAGCAATTAGTCGAAGAGCTTCGTTCATCCGTTGTTTATTCATATAAAAAATATTAAAAAAAATAAACTTAGATATTTTTTGTATAATTCAAAAGTGTATGAATAAATTTTTATATCAATATCTGTACTAGTTTCCGTGTAAAATAATAATAAATATTTGATTTTTTTCGATAAATAAAATAAAAATTAATCAAGGTCAAAAATACCTTCAGTATCACTACTAGTTTGTCCTAATTTGTAACCAGTCCCACTAAAAGTACTGGGTCTCTGCTGCTGAGGTCTTTCATCACCCGAAATCGATTGATCCTGACACGACTTGAACATATCGCTGACAATATCCTCCTTTTTTTTGTTAGGCCCTAGAATTTGCTGACCACTGTGTGCAGACCCGCCAGCGTAGAACGCCTGACCTTCTTCATCAGAACTGCTGTCTCTGTTCTGAAGAGACGCCAGTGTTCGTATTTTAGAATTCTGTTTAGGTTTAATTACTTTGGGCTTAATTGGTTCCATAGCGCCTGACTGGGTTTCTCCTGTCTGCAACTGGGCAAGTCTAGCTGCTGTCAAATCTCTTGACTGGTCTATCAGTTCTTCAACCTGCTCTGAGGATTCTCCTCCAAAAATCTCCTGTTCTACTGGACCTTGATCTCCGCACTCGTAGAAATTCGTTAAGGCAACCTGGAGTTAACAATTATTTAAATGATTTTTAATAATAATAATAATAACTTACAAGTTGCTTATTTGGCAATTTTCAATCTGTACTCAGTATGTGTTTAGTACATTAATTTTAAGTTAGAAATGAGACTAATAAAAAACATGAAATACCGTGTGTAAAATAATAATACAACTTAAATTAGCGAGTAAATAATTTAAAACAAATAATAATAATAATAATGATAATGAATAATTGATGTTGGTATTTCATAAGTGCTGTCTCACCTCTAACTGCCAAGCTGAAGAGGCTAAATAAAATTCAGCTCTTTCACGGTCAACACTTGTCACATCCATGAATTGTGATATAAGATCTTCCTCCATGGTGTTTTTTATTTTATTATTTATTTATTATTTATATATTTATTATTTACTCTTGTAATGTAGAATATAATATTGTCAATACAAATAAATCAATAGAAAATTACTATTTCTATAATTATATTTAAATGCAAGCCAATCACCTTTGTTATTTATTTTTTAAGAAACTGCAACACAAATTTCGTCAGCTATTTTTTTATATTAATTTTTAATTGTAATTTCTAACCTGATTTTCGTTGTATTTTTTTGTGTTGTCATTTGTCGTCTTACTTTACAAGCATCTATTTGCTTCCAGAACATTATTAACATTATCGGTCAATTTATTTTATAAAAAACCCAGCAGCTGGTAAGCGATGATTCGAAGAAGAAATCATGCCATCTAGCGGTGGTTGTGTGAAGACAAGTGAGAAAAACAGATTCTATAGTAAATGCTAGGAGAGACTCTCCCTCCCCAACTGTTCTCACGTTCTTGATAAGATATTAGCGTTTAACCTGGCTGAGACTATTTGAGAGCGCTTAATTTTAATAATTAATCCGTAAGAAGAATATGTGTTTATGGAAATTAGATTTCAAGCTATTGTTTGAGATATTGATTTAGATATAATTTTACGAAGTCATTTTTATGATAAAGACTGAACTTGTAAAAAAAATAGTCATTAATTATACTTATCTTTACATTTTAATTGTCGTTAATTATCCGTATCAATATTAATAAGTTATGATATTAGAGTTAGCAGTCACTTGACCATTTTTTAATTTTTTTTAACAAACAAATTTGTTCAAAAAATTATTTTAAAAAAATTCCATTTTTAATTTTTTTTTTAATTTCTACATGTCAATTTTTTTTTAAATAATTTATTTTCACAAAAATTCTTGAAATTATTAAATGTCTGCTCAATTAATTTTTATAATTAGTTCCGAAGAATTACTTTTAAAAAATTGCATTTTCAATTTTTAAAAATTTTTACATGTCCATTTTTTTGCCATAATTTATTTGTTAAAAATATTATTAAAACTATCAAATATCTGCTAAATTAATTTTAATTAATAACTTTCTTAATATTTTAATTACAGGGTCACATAATATTGATATTAAAATCAACAGATATCTGATAGTTTTTATCATACTAAAATTAATAAATATCTATTATTTTTTTTTGGATTTTTGCAATGACTAAATTATTATGAAAAAATTTTAATCAAAAAATTCCACATCTAAAAATTGAAAAAATTACAAGTGCAAATTTTTTAGAAATATTTTTTTTTTATAATCGATTAATATCAAAAAAATTTTTTAAAAATGTTTTGTATCTGTTAATTTAAGTATCATTAATTTTTTGTATTTTTATTACAAAAAAAAACTATTTTATAAAAATATGCACTCGTAATTTTTTTCAATTTTTAGCAGTAGAATTTTTTTATTAAAATTTTTTCATTATAATTGAGTTATAAAAATCTAAAAAATTGAGTGATAATTTCACTATTATATAATAGTACAAAGAATATTATTGTTTAATAAAAAAAAAAAATCAGTTGCAAAAAATTTTCTTTAGTTTTTCACGAATATGATCGTCAATTTTGGTCTATTTTATAAAATAATCAACATCTTGATACTTTCAATTATTCTAAAATTTTACCAAAAATTAATTCTTGGTATTCCAAACTAAATAGTTACTTTTCTGACTTTTTTCTTAATCTCAACACCTTAATTGATGAATTTTCGTTCAATACTAATTAAAAAAATAATTAGGTTTCTTTAATAAAATTTGATCGATATGAAATAACCTTGAGCAATCAAAAGCTAAGTGAAAGAATAAAGAGAATAACAAAAAAATTGATAGATAAAGATGATATGAACGTAAATAGGGGTAATTGGTCAATTTAAGCAATTAATTTTATTTATTTTATTTTATTTATTATTAATGAAATTGTTCATGTATAAACGAAATAAATTTCAATCACACGCATCTTCATTCAAGTAATACGCTAAATACCATTTTTTCATGTTCATTAATGTTCCTATTTACATAAATCGTTTGAAACTAGATAATATTTCAATTGAATGTTTACAAAGCGAATACAAAATCATTAATGAGATTAATCGTACGGTAATTTATAATTATGAAAAAGAAAAAAAAACAAAAATTATTAATAAGAATAAAATCATGCGACTGAATTTACCAAAAAAAAAATTTTTTTAGGTAATTAATCGATTAATTAATTAATTTGGAGACGTACACAAGCAACAGCGATGGCCCCATTGAATCCCAAAATTACCAACTACTGTAAAATTATTATACAATAAACAAAAAATAATAATAACTACATTTAAATGAATTGTTTTTTCTGCTTCATTTAATATCAATTAATCACCGTACAAATAATAAAGGATAATTGGCCCGTACATTTTTAAGATCAAACTAATTAATTGGCTCGTGTAAAATTTTCTTTTCAATAAACTTTTGTTGAAGAAACAAATAAAAAATATTATATGAAACGTCTACACAAATAAATGCTTCTGACAAGCAACAAAAAGTTATCATTTATCAATAATAATAATTATAATAATAGTAATAGTAATAATTTCTTGTACACACCTTATTTCGATTTAAAAACCGTGTCAATAGAATTTTTAGAAGACTAAAATATATGGAGGCAAGCTCGAATCTCTGTGAATAGTTAGTTTATTTCTAATACACACATACTCACTTACTCACACACAGGTCATACTTTAATTTGCATTTTTTAATTCTTACACTTAATAAATATTCAATAATTAAGTTGAAAAATTTATAGTAATTCAATTTAAATGATATATAATTCCGGCATTATTGACTGATACTGACAAACTAATAAATACATACAAACAGGAATTGGGAACAGCTAAATGCAAATGAAACGGAAAAAAAAAAAAAAAAAAAATAAAAAAAAAAAATACATAATATAAATAATAAATTAAATCCGTAATTTTAATAATTTATGCATAAAAAATTATAGATAATTTTCAGAAGCTACCTAATTTAATATTCATTCTGTTTTAAATTATTTTTATTTAAAATATCCAGGCATGAAGTATTGAAAAAATAAAAAAAATGCTGAAGAAATGTACTATTACAAAAACTGCAAATCAACAAAAAATTATTCTTATTATAAACTATTTTTTGAAATAAATTAAAGGAATATAAACGCATCACAGACATTATTAATTAATTAATTAATAATCTGATCTTATTAAAAATACGCATATTTTTAAATCCAGACACCACAACTTATTTTTAAATATTCATTAGCATTTTGTTTATTAAACTCGTTTACGAACACAAAATTGTCACGTATTTTAATTATTTTAATTTACCAGATTTTCGAGCGGCAGTAGACCTTAATTCTATCTGGTGCTTTTATATCCTTTTTGATATTTAATTTAATTTGTTTTTTTTTTATCAATTAAATTTAAACTACTCAAATACTATTATTTAATTATGAAAACGGATGTAAATCACGTGGAATTATTTTTAAAAAATCAGGCACTCATCAACAAACAAAAAATTTTTTCATTATTAAATATATATTTTTAATAACAATCACGTTATTTCGGGCTTACCTCCTTCAACAAGGATGTCATTACACACTCGTATGTTCAATTTACCACGAGTATTCGTTTTGCAACCATAGTTTTGTAAAACCTTTTATATTTAGTTTAGTTATAAATGATATTAAATGTTACATTGATGACGGTAAGTGAAAAAAAGAAAAGGAACTGATCGTAATTATGTACTGATGTTGTTGGTTGTTTATCTATGACAAAGTGTCTTTCGTTTTAGATGTGCAGGAGGAATTAAATGAGGTATGGGGATGTAAAAATTCAGTCCTGCATCTCCTCTGGCATTTCATGAGGATTAATAATACCCGGTACAGCCATTTGTTGCCGCCTTTTTTCTTCCTGAGCGGTTCGTAAGGCCGACTCACGTTCTTCCAAATACAGATCAGAATCATCTTCACCGGTGTATTCCTATAAAATAATTATTTATTTAATTAATAAGATAGTATTACAGTCGAGTCACGTTATGAACCCTTTTAGAGTATCTCATATTAACGCGAGTCTGATTAAAAAAAAAAAAAAAAAAAACCGATAGGGCTCATAATTTTAATTGCAAAATGGCGTTAAATTATGTCTACAATTACTTAAATTTTTCTTTTCAAAAAATTGTTACTTTTATTTTTTTTATTTTTACCTACTCGAGTAGTTATAAGGGGATTGATGCAATCCGAGTGTTATTTAATTTTTTTTTTATTTTGGTTATCTTGTCATCACGAAAATAATTTTAAGAACAATTATTCGGTAAATATTATTAACCTTGTTGGTTTGGTTGTTTATAAATAAATAAATAAATAACGAGACTCGACTGTATAATAAGTGATTTAAAAAAAAAAAAAAAAATAAATAAAAAAAAAATACTTACTCTAATTTGTACAAGGAAGTCTCTAAGATGTTCCTTGAATGCCGGTATGTCTTGATCCAAATTAAATAACCCTTGGACAGTTATTTTAATCTGATTATCTGTTAAATGTGGGAAAGCTGCTTTTAATAAGCTGGCTACAAATTCTTGTACATATACTCTGTTATCAGGTATTGCGCCAAGTGGTACAAGAATTCTTCCCAATTCAACTAATGTAAACATATACGCCAAAATAGTTGCATGCATTGTTAAACCTGTAACAAATATATTATTATAAGCCAATTTGTATTTTAAAGCTCTAATAACTATAATATTAATTTAATTTTTATCACTTTAATAAGATTATATTAATAATTCGTAAAAAAAAAAAATCGATAAAATAAAATATGAAAAAAAAAATGGATAAAAAAAAAGATTGACATTTTTTAATAAATTTTTAAATTGATTAATAAGAAATTAAAAATTTTTTCTGGTTTAAAAATCTCAATACTAAAAAAAAATTCAAATAAAAAATAAAATAAATTACCAGCTGAATGTGAAGTATCAGTAACAACACTGAATATATGTTGTAGAATTTCAGTAAAGTATGTTTGATAGAAACTCTGAGCAGCTTGTTCATGTTGTTCAATATTCTGCAACAGTTGATAAAGAATAGCCAAACCCGTGTCAGCGACATTTCTCATCGTGTGCTTGAATGCCCATATTATTGAATCAAGTACAAGTTTAAATTGTGCCGGGGGTATGGATAAGAAAGCTGGGAAACAATGGATATTAACAGCCTGAAGTAGAAGGAAAAAGTTTGTTCTGTGTTCGGGAAACTCTTCAAAGTCTTTGTTTATCATTTCAAGTGTGCACTCAAACACAGCGTCGAATATTTTCGGCACTTCGCTGGTAATGTGTCCCTCTAATTTGTTAACAATCGTCGCCATAGCACTCAGTACTTCAGACTCTCTCGCACACGGTACATTTGTCTTCTGGTAGTCCAACAGCACGGCGTCCAGCAAAGGTGGAATGAAATTTTCGAGAACCTATAAATAGCAGAAAAAAAAATATTATTCATTCGAATAAATAATTCATCAGGATAAGCCTGGAAATTCACATCAGATGAATTTTATTTGAATATAAATTTTTATTTACCATTTGGTGATCATTCGATCTGCTAATCCAATCGGAGATCAATTTTAATGTTTCTCTTTTAACAACTCTCATACTTTTTATCAGGGGTTGATTTGTTACACCTTCACCATTTAAAGCTATCGCAGCACTTATATTTTCACTCATTACCTGTAAATTAAATTCATTATTTATTAATCATGTTTACATTGAAAAAAAAAAAATATTAACTTGAATTAAGAGAAAAATTTTTAAATCAAGAAAATAACTTTGAAGAGTTTTATTGTCTTAAATTAAATCAAAAAATTTTTTAATCAAATAAAATTTATTTAAACCAAGAAAAATTTCTTAGTTTAAGAATTTTTCTCAAATCAAAAAAATGAATTTATTTACTTGATTTAAGTAAATTTTTTTTATGTAAATAAATTAAAAAAAAAAAAAAAAAAAAAAAAATTACCTTGTATACATTTAACATGTCTAAGTATATTCTTCCTAACTGTATAACATAGGGGTGTCCTAAAGCTTTACACGCTCTAACATTCGTCTTGAGAATACTACCGAGCTGCTTAACAGCTTCTGGATCCTTTAAGACATCGACATTCTTAGATGCCTGACTAATAATATCATCCCACACTCGATTTGGCAGCAGCATGTAACGTTCAATCCGTTCCTTCTGTCCAATATCGTCAACCTGAGCACTAATCATATAACCAACAGCCTCATAGAATGTATGAACCTGCTGAGTTTGTAAATCACAAATAATGCCGCTTATTGTTGACAGTATCTCTTCAATAAATGGCATAGTTTCGCCGACTTGGGTTGTCACAAAGTGTCTGCGACATTTTAGTGCAATCTTAATAAAGGTATCACAAGCCATATCCTGGACTCCGTCGTGTGTCTCGTGCATAAATTCAAACAATTTATTGACAACGGTCTTCAAAAACTTCCAATGAGCACGCAAAAACCGGGGATACTGACCCACTACGTACATAATATTACTCGCAATAATGGCTTTGTTGTCTTTGCCCTTTTTCTGCTCACAGAGACCGAGTAATTCCTTAATTACAGTAACCAGGAAGCGTTTTTCATCTTCCTCGTGCATCGCTCCGGAAATACTACCGATGGCCCAACAAAGCGTGTTTAAATTTTTCCATGACCACTCGCTTCCGTTTACTTGATTTTGCAATTTTTCAGTCATTACTTTTTCCGTGTCTGCGTAATCTAAATGCGTTAGGTAAACAAGTGTCTCACGCATATTTTTGTATAAATTAATAGAATCGGTGTCTTTCATAAATTCACGAACAACCTCTCCATTTTCATTCTCAATAACCAACACCTCTTCTGGTTTGGCCATACGGCTTATCATAATATAACGCACCTTAGTCAATACTGGGCAATAAAATGCACGTCGAGGTGGTACTGTTATATTATTCTTAGGACTAATCATTGGTGGTGATGACATAAACGGATTTTCACGGTAAAGATCCGCGGCGAGGTTGTTCCAGTACTCTAAACAAATTTTGAATATTTCGACCTCTTCAACTTCTGATATTAACACAAGATAGTGAAGCGCTTTCAATAACGTTTCATTAAGCTCTTTTTTCTCAACCAATGCACCGTGCTCTTTCAAAAATGTGCAGAGAAATATCGCCAAATTTTGAATAAAATTTTGCTCATCGTCCTGACCATAAGCGTAAGCGTCGCGGATGTTTGTCGTTGGGTATAGCATTTCCTCTAACTGCTGCATTGTGTTTGTGAACAGTAATATAAACATGTTGTCGTAATTAGCTACCGTTACCGCGGCTATCTCAATCAAACATTTAAGCGTGACGTTACGGAATATCGGGACATTTAGAAACTTGAATATCAGCGTTGTAATTAGCTTTGTTTCGAATATATAGCCGAGGGGTATCCAATTCAAAAACCTAAGCAGTGTCTCGAGGGTTGCCGCGACCAGTGGTACGTTTGGCGAATTGTCCATTACAAATTGACAGAGGTGAAATACTTGCGAAAATTCACTGCACATTGTATCTTTAAGGTGCTTTGCTTTTGTTTGCGTCATTTGTCCGCTTGAAAAGTCAAATACTTCTTCTGATAGCAGTTGAAGAATTACCATGTTATTTTGACATAAACTTTCGTTTGTTTTACTTGCACCTACGATGTCACCGATGAAGGATTCCCAATTCTTTGGCCACTCACGTTTTAATATCTATAATTTTAATAATTTTATGTTTTAATCATCCATTCATTTTTAATTAATAATATAAATTAAAGACCCAATTAGTGACACCTCCAAGTCTTTATTAGTGGTACTTTTTCTTTCAATGAAAAAATGTTCTAAGGTAAAAGACCCAGTTATTGACACTTGCAATTTTAATTTAATTAAAAAAATTTAATTTTTTCAAAAAACCAATTTTCTTAAAATTTATAACTCAAAAATTCTGTTTATTAATTTATTACAGTTGATTTGTTTTTTTTTTTTTTTTTTTTTTTTTTTT